GGATTTATGCCGATATCTGCTATTAAAGATCTTTTGAAGAAGTGGGAGGATGTCAGAACAACGGTCTTAAAATGGCATCCAAACCAGGTTGAGGTTAATAGGCCTAGAGATCTCTACAATTACAATGCTATTAATTACTTCTGAAAAATCATGAAGAAGACAGAAAAGCAATCGACATTGGACAGATTCTTTAACCCCCACAAACAGAAAAAACATGACTAATAAAAATGCAAGACCGTGTATATATGTATTTTTATTATTACATGTGAATAAATGTAGTAAGAAAGTATATATATTTTTTTTGGGGGGGTCTCCAGAACAAATTAGTCAAATTCCCATAGAAACCTATGGTAAATCGATAATTGGTTAACAAACAAAGTCTTGGAACGAATTATGTTCGTTAACTGATCACCCACTGTATTTTATAATTTCAAACTAAACTTTCTATTAAATGTTAATATTTTCAATAACTTCAGATTTTAAGATTAAATTCCCAAATTTTTCATTCAGATATAAAGTTCAATAAAAAAAAAAATCAAATTAAATCCAAATGAAGTTAGAAATTATTAAAAAAAATAATAATAATCAAGTTATAAAGATTACCTCTCCAGTTGTATCAAGAACAGATTCTACACAAAGCATAGAAACAACTGTTAATATTTCTTCACTGAAAAATAAAATATAGTAGTAAATAAATTAAATAAAAAATAAAAAATTGAATATTACATTATTGAATTTCATTCTTCTTTAAAACAAAATTACTTATTATTTACTTACGTGCATCTGAATAATTGCGATGCTATAAGAATTTTTGAAAACGTTGGCTGAAGTGGAAACAGTACCATTTTTTTACCAATATCTGTTAACTAATAATGCAATTTAATTAAAAAACTAATATTAAAAAAATTTTTTTTAAATATTACAAATTTTTAAACTATAGTAGAAAAATTTAATAATTTATTAAATAAATAAAGTTTAATTTTTAAAAAGATCATCAGAATTTTATATGTAAACAATATATAACATGATTCAGTGGAAACTCAATTATCTGAACTTGATAATGACATTTTAAATTTTGATTATCTAGAAACTCATCAGTGTTTGTGTTTTGGGTACATTAAGTACAGTGTAATTAAACATTCATGGACAATAAATAATGTAATGCAATTATTGTATTTGAAAGTAAATTAATTTACTCAAAATCTAATGTAATGTTATGTATATATGACCTATTATATATAATAATTTCCAATTATGTGGAGAGTTTGGTGTTTATAGATTATACTCTGTGGTATGTACAATGCTACATGTACTAGTTTTATTTCTCAAAAATTATTTTAGATATTCACATTTCTACAACACTGTATCTAGAATTATGTATTTTCTACTGCCCCTCATGAGGAGACAATATAAAGTAATATAACCCAAATTATACTTCTTTTCCATCTCTGTACGTAAACATTATAAATTATAATGTTTATTATAAAAAAGTAATAATATTTAAATAATTGTTGTGTTTTATTGTGCAAAATTCAATAATAAAAATCCTTGACCATCTATTATCTTAATTCTGAAATCTATAAATCTTAACAGATAACTGTCATTAAATTTCTACATGTCTAATAATCAGTTTCCTATTTTTCGATATAATTTTATAGTCAACTCAACAGAATTATTTTTTGAATTCAATCATATTACCCTCATAACAAAGCTATCATTTAATTATTCTCAATTAAATTTTTAAATTTCTTCTTTTCCTAAATCTAAAACAGAGGCTAAAACTAGCTGTTTTTCTTATTATTTGCTCTCTTTATATGTAAGACTAAAAAAAGTAAAGATAGCTTACTTCATAGTGTTTCTTTGTCAAGTTGTCACTGATAAAATTATGAAAAAAATGATATTTTATGAGCAATTATACACTGTGACATTGTCACAATGCCAGGCTATAATTTTCCATCACAATGCTCTCAATTTTAACAGCATCTTGCCCTGTACGTCATACATTTTCTGTTAACAATGCAGTCATGCCTGTCATTGATCTAACACCGTTCAGGAAAAATTTTTGATTTGAAATAATGTGACTTCTGATCCAAACTGGAAGTTTGTGTATAGTTAATTGGGGCTGCCTGTCCCTAAGCTTTCCATATGTGGTCTAGACTTTTGTCTATTTAACTCCATTCTCAAGATTAAGGCAAGACAGACAGGAGCCAATGGGAATTTATATGTCTACAATTTTTGAAAATTGCAGCCCAAAAACATTTATATCAATATGAAAGGAAATGTTAGAAATCAAATTTATTTTAATAAAAGTTTAAAGCAATGCTAATTAAAATATTATTAAATTTAATTAATATTCTACATATAAATAAAAAAATCCATATTACATTTTACAAATTACCTTTGGATTTACTTTATCTTCTATACTTCCCAAAAATTGTAATTGATTTAAGGCATTTAAAACAGACTATATTTTAAAAAATAAATAAATATATAACTTCAAATATTTTTAATTAAAATGTATTAAATATAATTAAATATGTAAATTATTTTTGTTTAATAATATAATTTTACATCAACAATACTTATAAAAATATTGCCAGAAGTTGCATAATAAACAATCAAACTAAATTATCATCTTCAATAATTCTCCAGTTTTTAAAATCTAAATTACAGTTGTCCCTCTATAGTCCGACGTTTTTTAATCCGACATGCTCAGTAGTCCGACGCACCTCCCGTCAAGGTACCCGTCCCCGTTACGTGTCTGCTTGCACAGAAGCATGTCGCGATGTGAATCTCCCCATCCAATTCTTACTCGATGACACACATTTCGTGTGTTTTATGTGAGCAGTTCTGTTCGAACAGTTGGAGTAGAGAATATTGTAAGTTACTGCTAGCAAAACAATGCGAAATATGTAATTATTTTCGGTAATCCGGACACTTTTGGTAATCTGACACACCTTTGGTCCCATACCTGTCGGATTATCAAGGGACAACTGTATTTTATTCTTTAATCATTAGTATATCATTAATAGTACTGTATTGCATTTAAATAATAATAATATTTACATAAAACTATGAATAATTCTATAGAATTTTGTTGAAGAAATATTATAATGATATTAGTTCAACAAGTATTTAAACTGTAATTGTGATATTTAATAAAATATTTTTATACTATAAAAATTCAGAAATTAACTAATTAAAAATATATACTGTAGATTTATAAATATAAGAAGTTGACTATTTTAAGTAGAAAATATTGTCAGCCATTAACATTAACAACTCAATAATTTGAATTACTTTTTATTAATAATTTGGAACTGTATTGATAAAAGATCAGTTTAAAACTAATGCATCATGATACTTGCAATTCAAGCAGTCATGAAAACACTTCAATCAAACTCTTTTCTGAATGAATAAGTGACTTAAAATCTATCATTTAACTACATAAGTTACATTTTATTATAATGTATTGGAATGACAAGGTGATATAAATGTTAATATATTATTCAATTTGTGGGAATTACAAGACTGAACATTATTGTAGACATTTATAAATTATAATTTATTCAAAAATTTATGTAAATTTTTATTAATAATTATTAATAAAAATTTATATAAATTTTTTAATTATTAAAATTAGTAGTTATAACAAGACAGTTTTCTTGCTTATCTTTACAACTAAATTTTCAGAACTTTTATTAGTACTTCTGTATCTTTAAACTTCAGATAAATTTCAAACTACAAAATGGAATATCAAGACAACTGATACAACAGAAACAAAACTATAAACAAATTCAACAACAAGATGGATTTTCTAATATTAAATATTAAAAATAAACTTAAATATATAAATAAACACTAATTTTAAATAAATACTAATCTATATATATATATAAAAATGGACGTGTGTGTCCCTATATTTCACTTTTCCACAAAAACTACACATTGCACGTGAATGGTGTTTGTATGTGGTGGTAGCCCCAAGTCTCCATTCGTGCATAGGGGTGATTGCGTCTCGATAGCTATAAGGGTGCGGGAGATATGGGGCTGAAAGTGGTTGAAAGTGGCTTTCTATTTCGAATGTTTTGTTTGAATTTGTTCGAATTAAATTCAAACATAAAATTCGAATATTGGTTCGATTATAGAACGATTGTAAACGTTCCAGAAACGTTGAAAATTGTTCGTTTGACTAAACGTAAAAATTCTCTAATTAGTCTGGAAACAGGGGACCTAATTCTTGCATTCTGTGAAAACGGGTAAGATTGGCTATAATGTAATTATCTTAATCTTCACTATCGTTACTTTTTGCCCAGCAAAGCGGGTCCTTGCAGCTAGATTCTAGATTACTTAGAAAAACAGTCTTTTATATATATATAAAAAAAAACTATATTACATACAAATAAAAACCCAGCGAAGCGGGTCCTTGCAGCTAGTATAATAATAAAATAATAAACAATAATTTAAACAAATAATATCAAGATAATGCAGAATGCTACCAATACTACAGAAAAATTCCAAGTGAATTCACTAAGTAGCTTTAAAGATTTAGCTGTTATAATAATCATTTTTTTCATAAACCATTGGAAATAATAACAGAAAAATTCTTCAAAATATATTTTGTAAACACAGCTCTCCCTTAATAGTCTGACAGGTATGGGACCAAAGGGGTGTTGGATTACCAAAAGTGTCCAGATTACCGAAAATAATTACATATTTTGCATTTTTTGCTAGCAGTAGCTTACAATATTCCCTACTCCAACTGTTCGAACAGAACTGCTCACAGAAAACACACAAAATGTGTGTCATTGTGTAAGAATTGGATAAAGAGATTCACGTCGCGACATGCTTCTGTGCAAGCAGACACGTAACAGGGATGGGTACCTTGACGGGAGGTGCGTCAGACTACTGAGCATGTCGGATTAAAAATTGTTGGACTATCAAGGGAGAGCTGTATAGATCAATGAAAGTTCCATTAGTTAATTAGTGTAAGAAGCAAGTACTCTTATCAAGTTATTTATATGGAACTGATGCAAGAAGCTACTTATTTCCAGATGTTAAAAGCAATACTTTGAACTCAGAGTCAATAAATTATAATTTATTTGCATCATGTTTTCTTCTATTAAATTATAAACTTTAAAATCATTCTAGAAAAATAATTTTATACTTTGTTAATACTTTTGAAATGAAACCTTTTTCATAAAAATTTTTCTTTTCCTTGAAATCTAAATCTTAAAATGTCATTTTGTGCTTTAGAAAAATTCAAATTTCTAACCAAATCACTTTAATTTCTAATCTAAATAATTTCATATAAAAATGTAACTACATTACTAATATTTATTTAAATATTTTATTTTTAAATTTAATATTAAATTTAAATAATTTACAAATTAATATTAATTGAATAATTAATTAAGAAATCATTCCACTTTTGAAGAAAATATTAATAAGATCATAAATTAACTGCCAAAATTTATAAAATGAATAATTTACCTCTTCAGAAGGATTATTTAAAAAATCAAATTTTAATATATCACGAATTCCAATTGCTAGTAGCTGGAGTACCACATTTGCAAGATTACATCTATAAAATAAAATATATATTAGTTTATATGCATATAAATACAATAAATTATACAGTTAAATAACAAACTAAGTAACAACACCAGCAAAATTATCAGGCTAAATTTAATCCAAACAGAAACTACTGAGTAGAAGAAATTTTTCTTTATATCAAAGCATTAATTAACAAATAAATACTTCAGAAACATCTAGATAATAATTTATTTAAAGTGAAATTCAAATTCACAATTTCTACAAGTTACATCAATACATTTGATTTGTAAACAATAATTTAAATACTAGATATTTTGTCGGAAAATGAAGCTGGGCTCCACAGTATATAAAAAACCAAAAATGTGCAAAGAAAAGTATTTAAAGCCGATTTAAATAATGTAAAATAAAAAATTGTAGAGATCAATAGAAATTGACAGCAATTGTAAACTCAACTGAGATGTCGTACACAACCAGCTTACAACTGACAATCAGCCAATAGACTTTATATGACACTACATTTTGACTTGAAATATCTCAGCCCATAAATCAGTTTTCAAAATTCCAGCTTTGTCACAACATAAGCCTTGAGAATTGTATATATTTGCAAAAAAATCATGTTTAGTGGTTATGCGGTTTCTTCAAACTTCAATCACAGACAAAACATTTTCTGACTTACGAAGAGCTATACTCAATAATTCAGTCAAAAATCTGAAGCTTTAATATATAAATTACTTAAAGAACCAGTAAATACAGTATATTAGAAATAAAACTCAAATAATTAATTTAAATGAATTTTGTATTATGTTAAATATTAAATTATAACTTGGCATTTTAGTGTTCTTTGAAAGTCAGTAAAGATAAACAAATTTCATTAAGATAATACTTACTTCATTTAAAATTTAAGACAATACTTACTTGTTTTATTGAAGGCTTTAACAGATGTAAGCAGTTTAAACAGAAATAGAATCTATATAAATAAAAATGTAAATGTGCGTTTGTTCAAAATTTTAAATCTTTGAAAGTTCTTAACCGACTGCTTTGAAATTTTGACACAACATTGCATTCGACTAAATGCATTTTTATATTATATGGATGTTGAATTCCCCCCCCCCGCAGGGAGAGGGACAAAATTAAAACCGACCATGAAAAACTTGGCTTCTATTATTCTATTTTAGATGCAGTTTTTTGTGTTTTTGATTGTGTTTTAATAGGGTATGTCAAAAGAATGTACACTAAGAACGGATTTTTGAAATTCCCCTATGGAGAGTGTTATACATTTGTAATAGATACATTTTGAGCCACAGCAATGCATGGCCAGGTACAGCTAGTTAACTTAATAAAATGAAAGAGTTTTTTTAATTTAAAAAATTATTTTAAATGTTTACATTAAAAAATAAAATCTTTGAAAAATACAAAAATAAATCTACATTCAATTAATCATATATGCACATTAAAAAAATCTAGCAACGAGTAACATAACTTTCCTGACCATTAGGAGATTTTATTTACAAAACAAGTAAAACGGCAAAACCGTATTTGGGACAAGACTATGTCTCCGAGACGGAATCACTTTGATGCTCAAGACAGGTCTCGTTCTCATTCTCCTATCTTCTTTGATATTGTTGCTTTTGGGCGCGATCATTCAAACTTCGCCAGCCACAACCATGAGATTGTCCATGATGCATCTTCGATGAAATTAACCTATCTAATTTCAAAATTTCTCTCCGTTGCATGTTGGCCCAGGTTGAATTTTTGTCGATGCATAACAAATAGTTCCCACTTTTGAAAAAAATAATTGTGGCTATTGTATCATCCAAAATTATTTTTTTATTTTGCACAAACAATATACAGTTTAACCTGATTATAATGTCATTGAATGTAACAACAATCCTAATATAACATCAAATTTTTATCGGTCCTATAATTTTACTATACTAGATAATGTTAAAAAAACCCACTTGTAACAACATAAAACCATTTTAACGTCATATTTGAAGCACTCCTAAATTTACAAAATTAGATTACAAATTTTATTTAACATAGAACAAACTACGTGTTCAGTCCTAAAGTCAGAGTTCACTTCTTAGAATGACTGTGGGTGGTACTCTCCCCTACCTGACTTCAGTGGGGTGAAGTGACTGTTTTGTCTGTTTGTAGAAGAGGGTCATCATTTTGTATTTTATTTTGACCCGATTCTCGGTCCCCCGACTACCTACGAGTCTGGCTATTTTTATGCGCAAATGATTTGGGCATCTAATACTCTGTGCCAAATATCAACTCTCGACATGTACTCCTTCATACCTCTATGCTGGTAAGAAAATCAGGCAATACGATTTTATAAACAAGACATAGTCTTGTCAACAACTTACGTTATTAATCATCTATATATATAAAAATGAATGTATGAAACAGTCACTTCACCCAAGTGACTGTTTTGTCTGTTTGTAGAAGAGGGTCATCATTTTGTATTTTATTTTGACCCGATTCTCGGTCCCCCGACTACCTACGAGTCTGGCTATTTTTATGCGCAAATGATTTGGGCATCTAATACTCTGTGCCAAATATCAACTCTCGACATGTACTCCTTCATACCTCTATGCTGGTAAGAAAATCAGGCAATACGATTTTATAAACAAGACATAGTCTTGTCAACAACTTACGTTATTAATCATCTATATATATAAAAATGAATGTATGAAACAGTCACTTCACCCAAGTGACTGTTTTGTCTGTTTGTAGAAGAGGGTCATCATTTTGTATTTTATTTTGACCCGATTCTCGGTCCCCCGACTACCTACGAGTCTGGCTATTTTTATGCGCAAATGATTTGGGCATCTAATACTCTGTGCCAAATATCAACTCTCGACATGTACTCCTTCATACCTCTATGCTGGTAAGAAAATCAGGCAATACGATTTTATAAACAAGACATAGTCTTGTCAACAACTTATGTTATTAATCATCTATATATATAAAAATGAATGTATGTGTGTGTGTGTGTGTGTCTGTCTGTCTGTCCTTCATGCATTACCACACCGTTTATCCGATTGCCGTGAAACTTTGGGAAGTTGTTTAATATACTCCGGTGAAGGTTTGTGGCATAGTACGATTGCCATAAAACTTCGGAAAGTTTTTTAATACACTCCCGCGAAGGTTTTTGGCATAGTACATTTATCCTACGATAGATGGTGCACGTTTACACGAGCATTCAAGCACAGTGTGTTCGATCAATTTCAAATTGTGAAGACCATTTCCCCCTTCAAAAAATATTTCTATATATGCATTTGTAAACTGTTATTTATGATATTCGTAATAATGTTTGTTTAATCACTTTATTTCAACTTTTTTTTGCTAATTACGTATTCGCTCGAACTTTGTTAAAACTTTAACTGTATACCGAACAACAACCGAAGTTGTAGAAGGAAATTCGCCTATTTTACCGATCTAGGGATCCCCTTTTCCAAATTTTAATATCATCTAATAATTTAAAAAGACAAATTACAATAAAACGGTTTATTATCCAACTATCAGAAATTTCACAACATGCCAAGGAAGAGAGGAAGGAGCAATTAAATAATTAAAATTATAAAGGATTTAAAAATATATATAAAAATGGGGAATATCGCACTTCTGACAATCGCAGCGAGTGTGTGGGCTAAATTTGGAGAATCCGTGCTTCTCGCATGGACAACTGTATGTGGCCGGCTCACGCGTCGAAAAACCTTCCGATTTATTCGTGTACGCACCAGACGGAAAAACAAAAAATATCGTGTATCCACAAACACTCCAATAAATAAATAGAATTGAAACGACACTTTGAAATGTTTTCCCGATGAAAATGAATAATAATAATAAGTTTCAATAAAAATAATAAAATGTAAATTGAATTTTATCATAACGAGTTTGCTTGAATTTCCTTTCTTCTGAGATCGCAGCAATGCGCGACGAGTAAGCTAGTAATAAATAAATAAAATTGTGTACGACACTATCCGTTATGAAATTTTGTTATAAAAACCTTCTATATTATTAATTGATATGAAATGGCAAAAAGATTATTTTTGAGGATAGAGATGAGTTTCATAAAAAAACTGTAAATACTAACAAGTAAAAATATCCATTAAGTCCTTTCCCACTCGAGATATGGCACACGACTACCCTCTATCTCTCCATCCGCTCAACCTTTTACAATCAAAATTTAATAGCATCAATGTCCCTTATACACAAGCTATTCTGCCAAATTTTGTGTTTTAATCTTTATCCCATACAAAGATTTATCTCATTTATCGCAACCTTTATCCCATTAAAATTAAACAAAACACAAACAGAAATTTTTTGCCCCTTTTTTTTTTACTGTTTTGGGTTCAGGAGTTATCAAAACATGAAAATTTGCAAAACACCCAGAGGGTTAGATCTGACACAATTCCAATACTTTCCCTTGTTATGTATACATAATAGCAGGGAAAGTGAAATCCATGGAGAGTTATCTTATTTTAATTAATAAGCTTTTGGTGAATTAACTTATAAGATATTATTGTTAATATATTTTACACTCATTAGCAGTCATCACATAGACAATTTTTTGAATTTTATAATAAATACATCTGAAAAACTTTTTAATTTAAAAACTATTCCATTCTATTCCTATTAATACTACTTATATATGAAATAGCCTTCAATAAAACAAGCAAAATAGTTGTTTTTGCTCCATTGCAGCATTTCCTGCTAGACTTTTGATTCTTAATACAAAGTTTTATGCATGTTTTTGTTCTTTCACAACTTACATTGAGTATGCAAAGACAAAGTGAGCCACCTTTGACATTTTGCTACTCAATTGTTGATTTGTACAAGATTAAACCAATTCTGGCTAAATATGCACTTATTCTTCACTACCAACAATCAAGCTTTTTGCTTAAATTGATTCTGTCATATGAATGAGATTCCTGATAATTTTCAATTGGACTTTGTAGATCTTGATTATTAAGAAAATAGTAGGTTCAACTAGCAGATTTTACAAATTTATCATAAATAAAATTTAAATAAATACCTTTGTATTTCTGGAATAGGATGGTCATTCATTGCATTATATTCATCTTTAGTGTACAGTCGATAACAGACACCTCTAAATTATTTAAAAGAAAATAAAATAAAGTTACTAATTATTATAAATTGTTACTTATATTATATGAGCCTGTTATATTGAGGAATTAATAATAATATAATCTAATTTAAAACAATAAAAATATTAAATTGACTAAGTATTAAGAACAATGATTCATTTACTTTGATTGACGTCCTGCTCTGCCAGTTCGCTGCCATGCTTGAGCTTTTGAGATTCTTTGAACTTTTAATAATTCTATATTGTATAAAGGATTAAATGTTCTGTAAGAAATATCACAAAAACATTCATTTAAAAGTAATTCTAGTGAATTAATAATTGATAATTATAAATATTCAAAATTAAAAGCATCAATATAAATTAATTTTTCTATTTTTAGTTAATTTTCTTCTTAAAAAAATTTATTCATAAGCAGAATAAATTTACTTGAACATTATTATTAGTATCAATTTTATCCACTGTGAAAAGTTTTATTAATATTAGAATTAACTAACATGAGTAAAAAAAGTCTCAGCTTAATTATTTATAAAATAAAAAATTACAATAATTTGAATTAAATACAAATTCCTATATTTGAAAATAAGATTGAGAGTATCCAATAAAATTAATTATTCAGAAAATAATGCAAAATTAATATACAATATTGTAAATTCAACATTTATGACATCAAAAACAAACTTTGTAATACTATATAACAGTGCTTTTGGAGTAATATTTTGCAATATTATCTTAATTTAACTTTTTCCATCAATTTTTATGGGAAAAATTCTAACTGGTTCCCGATTCATCCAAAAACCCTCCAAATAAACCAATTACCCCTGGCTGCTTACAGTCCACATAACATTAAAAACACTGAAAAACTTATTTATCTAATGATCAATTATTTTAGTATGATATTAAGCATTAAAACTCCAATTACCTTACTAACAAAACATTTAATAAAATCATTAAAGACTGTGTTTATAAGCAATAATACAATCACTAAATTTGTATGGTATTCCTAATAGGAATTACAGTAAGACCCAGCTTAACACAGGGGATGCATTCCAGATGACAAAGCGCTAAACGAGATAATTTTTAACAGAGTAAATAGGGATAGGGGAACACACGACCAAAAATAAACAAAGTTTACTTTAAGTTATTTTTATATTAATTTGTATAATAATATATGTTAAACAAGTAAAACGGCAAAACCGTATTTGGGACAAGACTATGTCTCCAAGACAGAATCACTTTGATGCTCAAGGCAGGTCTTGTTCTCATTCTCCTATCTTCTTTGATATCGTTGCTTTTGGGTGTGATCGTTCAAACTTCGCCAGCCACGACGATGAGATTGTCCACAATGCATCTTTGATGAAATTAACCTATCTAATTTCAAAATTTCTCTCTGTTGCATGTCGGCCCAGGTTGAACTTTTGTTGATGCGTAACAAAAAGTTCCTGTTTTTGAAAAAATAATCATGTTTATTGTATTGTCCAAAATTATTTTTTTATTTCTACATGAATTACTTGTTCTGCCAGTTCTTGAAGGTCGTCATTGGTAAGACTCTCATCAGAAACCTGTGGTAACTCCTCAATATCCTGCTCGTCTACATCTCCTAGTCCTGCTGTATCAATTAAGTTGACCAAAGTCAACCTAACGATACAGCAATAGGCTCTTCTTGTTAAGAATTCTTGGATACCTTCAGCCATAACTTCTTCCACACTTCATTCGTGCATTTATCAGTTAATTCTTGCCAAGTGAAGCCAATATTGCCCATGGCATCCATGATGTTAAATTTTTCCAAAATTTGCATCAACCAAACATAGAATTAAAGAAAGTACACCTTTTTGCCACCTTTTTCTGATTGGTTCATGTTTGTAAATAATTGTATTATATACGAATCAATAAAATGCCGCGATAATTTGAATCAGCATAAATTTTGAGCTTTTTTTTAAGGCTTCAGGCAGACCGTGTTATATCGAATCAGCATTAAGTGGAGTCTTACTGTATATAGCAACTGCATTTTTGTTGAATATGCAGTAGATGACAATGGAAATGTTGTAACAATACATTTTATATTAAAATTACTACTGTATAAAAATATAATAATAAAAATAAAACAAAGTATTGAACATACCGTAATGAACTGTTAAGAATAAGATTGTAAAAATATTTTAAAATTTTGTGATAAGGATCACTATAACTGCATAACTGCAGTAAAAAGTAAATTTTGGTTTTTTTTGTAAAAAAAAAAGATTAATAAAAGTAATGAAATAATTGATAAAAAACAATTAAATGACTTTTAACATTTTAATCTTACACTTATTCTACAGCAATTTATGTTGTCAACTGTTAGACAACACTAGGGAAGGAAAGACATATCATAGTTTCTTACATTATTTTAACACATACATTTAAGTAGATAGTAAACATTGTTTTATATGTATTAGTTTACACTGTGAATGTTAGCATTATATTTTATAAAAACATATTGGTTAATTCTTAAAAATCAACAATGTCACCTAAACAAAAAGATTCTAATGACAAAGTATCAAAATGCCAGAAAGTGACATTCCTCAAAGATTAAAGTGGTAGCTCATTTTCAGAGAAGAGAATTAGAAGCTACATTGCTTGTGCTTTGCATGTCTACCATAAAATACATTAAGTAAATAAAATAAAAAAAACAGAGGTTAGAAATGTAATAGCAAAATTATGTATGAAAATGTGCTTTTACTTTTTCATATTCATAGTATTTTTTCAATTCTCTAACCTTATTTTTTCAAAGCATTTTTCCTTTTCATATTCATGATTTCCAAATTTATGACAGTTTTACAGAACTTAATCTCTCATGAATATGAGATTTATACTGTACTTGAAATTATTTGATTCAACATTGCACTGGGTATTAACCTATTCTGATATTCCTGAGATATCTTGGGTCAAAACATGATGACCTTGATCTGTGAACCTGAGATATCTTGTTTCTGCATTGGGATGTTTTTGACACTAGATGTCATTAGTTAGTTTACATTAAAACTAACTTCCGAAATATAATTTTTTTTGTTTTTACATTTATTAATATGTCTATTTTGTTTATGCAAAATAAAAAAATAATTTTGGACAATACAATAGTCATGACTATTTTTTTTTCTAAAACGTGGAATTCTCATTATACTTAACATCAACAAAAATTCAACCTGGAGTGACACACAACGGAAAAAAATTTAGAGTTAAAGAATAACATTTGTTGTTTTGGGAATTTGGATATAAAAAGTTCAGATACTAGAGTATAGCTACATTACATATCTTAATACACATCTTAAGTAAAAATAAAGTAAAACAAAATAAAAGTCTTAAACTATACACAACTATCTAAAATACAGTTTGATTAACATCAAAGTGTAATTAATTTAAATTGATCCAAATATTAATTTCTAAAGTAAAAACAAAACATTCTTACTTGGCTTTTACCATTCCAGTATCGACAACATATTTTATTCCTGGAATTGTTATAGAAGTTTCAGCAATATTTGTAGAAAATATTACTTTTCGACAACTCTGCATAAAAAATGTCATTAAAAAACTGAAATCTTTTATAAGCAACAAAGTATTTCTCAGTGAACTTTCTAACCTTTGGAGGAGGTTTCAAAACTTCAACTTGTTTTGTTGAAGAAAGTGCTGCATAAAGAGGATATGGACAAATTTGTAAACAATCTGTAACAATAAAACTTATGTTTAATAAATATTAAAATTTTAAATTATATTTTATAAAATAAATGTAAAATTTTATTGCACTTCGTTTAAGGAATAGATGTTATTAAATTAAAAACTTGTTAAAAAGTTAGTATAAAATGTTGTGAAATAAAATAATTAAAATAGGTTTGAAAGTGATATAATAATATCACAGATAAATACAGTGTGACCAAAATAGTTGCTTGCCAAATGTGGATGATATGATCATTGTTCTTACAGTTTAGGGCACAATAACAACAGAAGTAATTGTGATGACCCTTGAACAATGTGTGCAGCTTGTTTTATTGTATTGAGACAATCAAGAAACAACAATATGGAAGGTCTGGGTGGTGACAATTCCATTGTCACTACCCAGACCTTCCAAAGCCTTCACATCAAGCTGTTGGCAATATCATAGAAAAATTTAAGGAAACATTCAAGGTCCTAGATGAAAACAAGCTCCACTCATTGTTTGGGAGTTGGCATCATTACTTCTAGTTGTTATTTCACTTAAAACAATAAAAACAATAATTATACCCATTTGGCAAGTGACCACATAATAAGGCATTTGGCTGCACTATATAATAATTTATACAAATATAACAAGATCAGGAAGTTTTAAAATAATCAAAACTATATATATTTATTTTTTAATGTAAATACTTCTTTTTAAATATAAAATAAACATATATTGTCTATTCTTTACATGTAAAAATATAATGAATTTATTTATTAAATTTAATTTAGTGATTAAATAATTTCTTATCTTTAGAATAACAACAGTTTCACTTTTAGCTGAATAAAAAAAGCAAACCTTTTACAGAATAAAAAATTGATTAATTTAATTATTTAAATCAATTTTAAATTGTTGTCTTTCTAAACATGAAGAATATTTTCTGAACAATATTTAATATTGTACTATTAAACTTTTTACTTCTAAAAATATGAAATATTTGTATATGACCAATTAAATACAAATAAAAACATTATATACTAGATATTGATAAAGCTATAATTAATAAAGAACAGCAGCTGAAAACTGAAAAGTGTTTTAAATTTTCTTGTTTAAACTTAGATATAGCTTTAAAATTGAGAAATTTTGTATTTACTAGGCTGGATTTAATTAATACCTTGCCACTTAATTCTTTAAGTTATTTGTAGATAATTCAAAGAATCTAATAATCAATGCATGTCTTTAATTTATTTATTTTAAAAACTGTTGTAAATGCATTTCAGGCTTTTTTTTTTATCCACTCGTTAGTATGGCTGCTAATTCTGCATAAAAAATGCCATAAATTTATACACAAATACAATATAAACTTAAACTTACAATCAATAATTATAAAATTTTATATTGCAGTCAAATATTTAAAATAATACAGATGTATGAAGTAAATTCAATGTAATATATAGTATTCCTTATGCAAGTCTATACTGGAGAATTATATAGAAAACCAGGTGCAAATTATAGAAATAATCAAATAATAGAGCCAGATTAAGCCAGATAAGACTATTGATTACAAATTACATAACATCTTTATAATTAATTAGCCATATTCTAGTCAGATAGGTAATCTAGTCCTATTATTTGACTATATTGGAGAAACTAAAAAATAGTTAATTACTAGAGAACATATTGCTACTTTGGAAGAAAACCGGCACAACTCAAAATGACTAGTTTTGAGAAAATCCCATGCAAAGATTTAACCAAAGTTTAACTGAATATCACTTATCTCCCACATAACTGCTCCCTAGTGGCTGAATATGCAAGTTACTTTTGTGACACTCTTCCACATAAAAATTTACTACATTTTCATTTTGATTATGACATAATTGAAAAATTGCACTTTTTTGAGTTATGCTGGTTTTCTTCCAAAGTAGCAATATATATATTTCTGATGTAAACATAATAGAATAAACTCTGTATTATATGAGGACTGCACAACATATAATTATAATATTAATGATAATAACATAAAGATCTTAGAGTATGAATATGATATGTATAAGAAATTTAGAGAAAGAATACACAGGACCAGATTTGCACATAAGCTAAACAAGCTGCAGCTTAGGGCTTTATGTTATGAATCTATAGTTTAGAGCGTCATATTTTTACATTTATCATCTAGGCCAGGGGTGGTGAGCCTATGGCACGCATCAGAGAAATCATCTGGCATGTAGCATATCTTACGACTTCAATTTATCATCTGTCTTTTTTTATCATCCTATCGGGTTATCATCCAATCATCCTTTTTTTCAATCAGCTTCTTGAAATTTATTCTAATTACAGCATATTAATTTATTTATTTAAACATAGTTATTCGAAGTCTATAATTTCTGCATGCATAAACATTTTTAAAGATAAGTACGCTTACTATATGGCACACGGACTCATAAAGGTTTGCCATCCTTGATCTAGGCTATCATATTTTTACATGTATCATGAATAACATATAATAGGAAGGGGCTATTATATTTTATAGCTTAGGGCCAAAACAAGTCTAAATCTAGTCCTGAGTATATACATATAAAAAAATTAATGCTTTTTTTATATAGCATTTAGATATGATAGTCATACACATAAGATGGTTTACAAGTTTATAGTGGTTAATGAATGTTTTAATGTGAAGAGGTCTTACTAAAAAAAAAAAGTAAAGCTACAATGAATTTTGTAAATAGAAATGTGTAAGTTTCTTATATTTATGTATAACTTTATGAAATCTTTATTCAGAATTAGCAGTCATACTGATGAGAAAATAAAAAACTCAAAACATATTTATGACCAATGTATAACAGTTTGTGAAATAAATAACTATATAGCAAAACACCTTTTTAATTAGAAATTTGTTCTAAAAAGAGAATTCAAACTTTTACAATTCCTAAAGACTTTATTAAAAATATGTTTAATTAATTAATAAACTCAGTACTTAATATCATGTTTTCTACAAATATAAACATCTCTAAGTCTGATAGTTATAATAAAGCCAAATGAATGCCAGATTAAATCAAATTATATTACTGCTACTATTAATAGTTAAATGCTAAATGATTTGGCCTAGAGGTAGGCATTAAACACCATCTCTTATTAAATTTAATAATTATAATTAAATTAATATTTTATTAATTAATTTATAAGGTTCTGGAAGAAAAGGATCAGCNGTTCCTTTTTCCAATATGAAGATTACAATAATTTAGTCAATCATGAATGGAGCTGGTTTCATGTGGATACTCTGTAATTTCATACACATAAATGTTGTATACTCACTTCAACAGGATATTGCCTTCCTTCTATATAATATACAGGAGAATTATTAAAATACTGTGAGAAGTGGTCTACATCCATTGTAGCAGACATAATAATTACCTGTAATAGCAAAATTTAATGTTAAACTATCAAAATTTTACAATAATTTGACAATGCTTTAACACAAGACATAAAAAAAACACAAGAATAATTTAATCAATACAATTTGAATTTGGATCTTAAGACATTATTTTTATTATTCTTAAAATAATCATTAAAATTATGTTAGATGTTTTATACTAGTGATGGGACAATACCAAAGTTTCTCCCGATTCCAATTCTTTTGAATATGTATAGCACAAATGGTGGAATATCAACACCGTAGTAATGTAACACCAACTCATATCTCTAAGCCTGTAACGGTTCGAAAACATTTGTAACTGGTAGAGAGTAAGATAATACACGCACCACTAAAAGGCTTAGAGATACGAGTTGGTGTTATGTATAGCACTTTCTAAAGTTTATTTTAGTTTAGATAAATTAACGATTTACATTAAAAGCACAGTACATTCATTAATTAATAAACATCAAACTGAAGAATGGAAAATGATTGGGAAATCAAGAATCAATCTTTCAAAAGATTGATTCTGGATTTCCCAATCATTGTGAAAATTCTCCATTTATAAGAGGATGTGCATGCTTTCATTGTGTACTACAAATCACATACACTGAACCAATTTACGGTGTGGTACGATCAACAACGAAAAAAACAAATGTTTTCAAACCCCTTCTGGGCTCTTCATCAGGTTCCTATAGTTTTAGCTCGTAAATTCGATTAACGAATGCCGTTAAAATAACTTTGTTCATGTACTACAAAATAAATTTGTAATCTTATTTTGGATAAAGTTAATATTGCAAAGAAATTACAACTAATTAATTCACTTTCACTCAAAGAACTATCTCAGCATGTCATGTTGGATCTCCATCTTTGGAAACTGTTTCATTGGCCAATGCAATGACTGTGAAAAAGGGAAGATAAATGGAAAGATATGTTTTTTCCATGCTTCTCGTAATGGGCATGTCTTGCAAATGATTTAACTCCATCATATTTAATACTAAATGAGGTTTGGCAAATGAGCCAAACAAATATCATTGACACAAGTTAACTGATTTTTGAATTCATTCACTCAAGCCACAAATATCTAGACCAACCCAAGTTGAAAAATCAATTTTTAAAACTCAAAACAGCATTAGATAGTGTAAACAAGTATTTTTACTCAGAATTGCACAAATCTCATTTGAAAGTTTAACATATTACAGCACATCAGTGAATCATAATAAAAACTTTCATAATTATAATGAAAAAGTTGTTTTATCATTAAGTAAACATGGTAGATATTAAAAACAATTTTACATAATATTGTTTCAATTAAAATATAATTTTGTTTACATTTTAAATTGTTTTGCCAACACTTAATTATTTGTTTCACTTGAAAATGAAACATTTTTTAAATTATGATATTGACAATTAAATATTAGTTTATTGGAAACTTTCATTTCAACAAAGTAGAAAGTACAAGACCCCCCCCATACATGAGGTGATAATCTAGTAACCATGGTTAGAGTTTGCTGTGACCATGCTCAAATTGTCCCTTTTTTAGGGGAGATATGGTGACTTCAGGTTGCCATCCGGCTGTCTTGACCAGCAATCTGTATTCTGTATCTGTAACAGAAGTGTACAGAATGTAACAGAAAGGTGTGTAAAAAATTTGAGAGGTTGTAGTGGGGTTAATTTTCTTATAAAATGTGGAAGAATTGTTTTTAAGAATCAGAAATTATGATGACATTTTCTCAATTCTGATACCCAAAAACTGTCTGATTTTTCTGATTCTCAATTCCAATTAATCGTTCCATCACTAGTTTATACCATTAAATATCCATCTAAAGAAATATAAAAACTCCTCATATTTTTCTTCTCAACAATGCAAATTCAGAACTACTTCTAAAAATTCAATACTTTATTCTTAGTTTTCAAACTAAACTTCAAACTCAGACTTTGTAAATCAAAAATTGATTTTTTTTGATAATTCTTAAAAAATAAACAAACTAGAATTCTTATGACAAAAAAAGCATTTGCATATTTCTAACACAGATAGTGCAATGAATCAAAAGCTCTATTTTCCGATGATGTACCCATTTATTATATGTTTATCTTCATATATTATATATGAGAATGAATAATATATTCTTAATTATATTTGTTCATTAGAATAAATAATAATATATATTTATGGCCCACATATGGCAGTTTATGAAATAGACAAATTACAAGACAAGTGCTGCTTATAAGATATTTGTTCTAGAAGAAAATTCCAACCAAGTAAATGACAGAATAAATAAAGTTTACTTAATCAAGTACTTTTATTTATTTTTGTAAACAAATATTAAATAAAAATAGTAACTTCAAAACTAAAGTTTTACTTTATTATGTATTTACTCTCGTTGAGAAGAATAAAAACTTAATGGAAATCAAATAAAAGTTTTGGTATATGAAAATATTTAAATAGATTTCTTAAACATTCAGTTCAAAATCTCATAATTTAAATTCTCATTCAGCATTTTAAATTAATTTATTAAAATGAAAAATTTTTTACCTTCAAAATTGGCATAGCTTTTTTCTCTCTAATTCTTTGGGCTGATTTTACTACTCCAAATAAAACATCAGTGTGTATGGTTCTTTCATGAGCCTCATCTAGAATTATTATACTATATCTGTGAGATAAACATAATTTTATATTTTCAATCCTACTCCTTTATACTTTCAATATTATCAACAATATATATATATATTGATTATGGATTGAGATTTTACTATATATATAGTAAAATCTCAATCCATAATCCTAATTACAAAAATTCTTTATTTAAAGTCAACATTTTCAGTATTAAAATTCAACATCTGATATCTAAGTGTTTTTACATTTAATCTATATAATTAAATGCGTTTTAAATTAATAGCCCATCTGCTTCATAAAAGGTATCATAATGTTCATAATTATTACATAACATAAATATCTTAGCATAATAAAAATGAATAACATACAAAGAATCAGAGGTGCAGAATATGTCCAATTGCACAAATAAGGTTCATGGGAAATTGGTGGTATAGAAGATACTATTACGTTAATAGCCTCAAAAAATGGAATACAGATGCTCCCCTACCTGTTTGTAAAACAGGTTAGGTTTCTGAGGTTTTGTCAAAACCCAAAATGTCTGTAAGTCAAAAACTAACCTAGAAAGTACAGTATATTTGTATAGAGAATAAACATGTATAATTAGTCTTTGATCATTCAATGTACTTAATAGAACACATTACACTCATTTACCTGTTACCACTACTTAGAACAAGTGTTTCAAATGTAATTTTTTTTCATCTAAAGCATTTAGTTTTAGATGAAAACTAAATGCTTTAGATGAAATTTAGTTTCCATTGTAATAGAGTGATATTTATTGCATTTAGTTCCACTGTTAGATCTACTATTATGTTTTAGTCACATTTTTGTAACACTAAACTTAAAAGTTTATAAAAATTGCAAACAATAGCAAAAAATGCCATTACTCCAACATTACTAACTTCAATGCCACCTCACAAGCAGCTATAGAATATCAGAATTCATGCAAAAACGAAAAATGACATTATGCAACATAAATAAATTTACATTAATCATTTATTAAAAATTTATTATTTATTACTGATTAAAGACTAAATATGACACCATCCCATGACTGGCAAGAGAACTTCAGAATCTGCACAAAATTTAAAATTTAGATATACAGTTAAATTGTTCATAAATCTGAAAGTTTATAAGTAGGGAACCTCCTGTAGTATCTTGATTATCCTTACTCTACTGTATAGACATTAATTGAGGAAATTAGCCAAAATGCAGGAAGCTTGTGTCCTAAAAGTAAAATTTAAACATTGTTTAATTTGTTTCTAATCAGTTCAGTCAGATATTACATTACTATCTATTTACATTGTTATGTGCTTGCTATAAGAACGAGTCTGTCTCTCTTATCAAACCACAGTTTAAATTTTTAGGTAAACCAAAACCAAAACAGAGCTTTGAAAGAACCAAAAAGAAAATCCATTTTTATTTCAAAACTCTTTTTGACACTACTTAATGAGCACAATTTCATGTACAGTTGAATCAAAACAAAATATTCATTCATTCCCCACAAGATAAATTTGAAAATTAATATACTATGTTCAAAAAACATTTTCTGAATTGTCTTGATTAAATTAATAGAAGCTTTATCACCATTTAATAAGCATTATTTCTCTTTTTAATATTTATCTTGTGTACTAGTACTTTATCAATTAACAGGACTTATTATACTGGATTTATGAATGCAGAAATTTAGTCTTACAGATCAGAAATAATATTTTTTATTTAGTTCACAGGTGAACTAAAAAAAAACAATATTATTAAGACTAAATTTCTGCATCCATAAATCCAGTATAATAAGTCCTGTTAATNCTTGTATTATTAAAAGTTAGATTTTATTACGACTACAAGATATTACCTGATGGTAACTGTAATGACGTCTCTCTAACTGCTCTAACCATAGATTCAATTTCTTCTTGGCCAGTGCAAAATACTAATATATCCCTAGTAATAACACAATAGTCAATAAATTAATTATACAACTGGAAATAAAATAATATGAAATAAGAAATTCCATGTTTTTTAATATAATATTTAATATAATTTGCATTAATAATTTATTCATTATAAAAACTATATGTAGTATATTCTACAGTACATCAAAAGAACATATTACAAAGTATTATCAGAAATAAATTTTTTAAAGATGTATGTGCCTAATATTTAATGATTTAAACAATGACAATATTCAATTATCCAGTAAATGAATTATTCTAAGATAATATGAGCACAGTAGACTTCTATACAATGCAGGGAATACATTCTACATTATAGGAAATCACATTATATGAGAAATGCATTATCAGATGATTTTATGAAAGTTTAACTTGTATTATATGGGGGTTCATTGTATACATAATCCATCCTTAATTTAACAGATTATAAGAAGAGTAGTTGGGTCCATTAATGACAAATATCTGTTACAATCAGGACTGTCAAAAGCTTGTATAGGAAGTGCCCAGGTAACAAATGAAATGTGTAGAATGTTTTGAGAACTGGGGCTAGTGTAAATTTGACAATTTCAATCTTATTTTTGTTCAGAAAAAAAGGGGAGAATTATTTTATTTCACAAATACAGTAAAGGAACTTTGTAAGATTTTCCCACCAACCTTCCATGGGTGACACAGCTTCTGAAAAAACTACTCAATAAGGAAAATGAAAAAAATTGCAGATTGGAGCAACTGCCAACTTTATCAAATATGGGAGCAGCAGGGGAAAGACCCCAAATAAAAGCTAGAGGATGGATTACAAGATGGAGAGTTTGTCTTTCCAGTTCAAAAATGTGTATCCATCCCGCCATACTCTTCTGATCCTTGAGTTCCTGAGATTTCTACCAAATCTTGGCTAATCCAACTTTACTACTGAAAACTGTTTAGAGGACTCATCATCCCCAAGCTTTCCCCTCTTCTGAATGTCCTATCAAACCTTTTTATCCAAGTATTTATCAACCCACATATGCAACTGTAAACACACACACACTCTCTCTCTCTCTGTTCCACATACTTTTAGCATTAGTCTCTCCTGCTAATTCTATTCCCTTGTAAATTTTTAAACTTAAACAAATAAATTGTTGTTATTGAACAATTTAATGTGTAGTGGAGTGCATTACTTCCAGGCTTCCTGCCTCTCTAAAATTTCCTTTTATCTCTTACTCCATAAAAGTCCTACATATATGGCTGCTCATGCAGTTCACAGATTCCTGAGCTGAAAAATCACAGGTGGTGTCAGACCTGATCCGAGGGGGTGCTGCCATCCGGTTCAGTTTCTTTATTAATAAAACTTGGTCTTAAAGATTTTATTTTCTGTTAGTAAAAATGTCATTAATTTTAATCACTATGAGCCCATAAATTTTCTTTGGGCCTGGGAAAAAAATTCCCAGATTCCCCCTCAATGGCCTTGGTTACATTGATGGACTGCTAAAATATGTGGTTCTAATATAGCAGCAAAGTAACAGCAAATAAATATCCAAGTTAAAAGCAGTCGTAATTATAATAGTATTTTGTATGAAACTGAAAAAATAATAAATATTACATAATGAATATATTGAAATGTTTAATCATGAACATGATCCTAATTTAGCAATGAAGTACAGATAAATGCTTAAATTAAACAGTCTTAAAAATAATAAATAAAGACAACACATTTGCTATAAAAGCTTTTCTTATTAGTTATTACATTTAATATCAGAGATTATTTCTTTATATCATGTGACATAAAAGCAACTGAGTCACTTTTGGTTAACTTTTACAAGTGTTCTAGCTTCAAATCTATTGTTAAATTAATCTGTTTCGACTTAACACTGTAATCAGAATTCTTACTACTAACTTTTGGAGATATTGTGGTGGTTAGATATAAAAAAAAATCCTTTTATTTTGAAAAGACAACAACAAAGGCCGCTTACTTGTGCAACACACACAAACGAATTAATTGAATGGTTTCTCCATAAATCATGTTACGAGCATAAAAATATTGCATTTAAAGCAATTTTATGAATTATAGTACTTTTTTAAAGCAGATAAAAATTTTGTTTATATTAATTCTTTTTATGTCTATGTCCTGAATATTTTCCTTTTATGTTTCTATATTGTCTACTTGAACCTTGTTTATAAATAGGACTAATTATACTGGTGTAGTTTCTGATTAGTAAAGAGAGAAAGTCTTAAAAAAAACTTTACTTCTATTTTTTCATGTAATTATAAAAAAGTTTTTCATATATTTATGAATATTTTTATTTTATTCTATTTGACCTTGTTTGGTATAGCCAAAATCTGATTATAAAAATCAGTACATGTTAATATAACAAAACATAAATATAAAAACAATAATATAGTACTTTATGCATATATAACTTACTGTAATATATACTTTATGCAATTACACATATGATATAAAAATTAAGTCACATTTATAGAATATATTATTTCTTAACCAATGATCACATGTAATAGTGGCAATTTTGTACGTCTACTAATTTTTTCAAAGGCATTTTTCAAGCAATTGACTTACTTAGCTGTTCTTCCATGCTATCCATTGTGTAAAAATTTTGGTTAAAAAAATTTTTTCCACTTATAGGGTCTCAAAAAAAATCACTGCATAAAATCACTGCCTTACACATGCAATCAAGCACAATTTTTTTTATTGTCACATTCATATGATGGTGATTTTCCACTCTAATGGTTATTTTTGGTGGCCTGACATCATCAAAAATCAAACATGATGTCATGGCGGTCTTATATGATTGCCATAAGAAATAGTCATGATATCACAGATGTGCCTGAAATAATAACATGTATGGTCTTCAAGTTGCTAGGAGGACTTTAAACACTTGTATCTTTAAGATAGCCTGGAATCTATAATCTTCAATAATTTAAATGTTTGCATAAATTTATTTTGTGCCAAAAAATACAGAAAAATCATTTTCTGGTCCTTTTCAAAAATATCTTATCCATCCTATCATTTATTTCCAGGTGAATTTTTACATTAACCCATAATATTGCAAAGTTTAAAGGATTTTTATGAGAGCTCCATCAAGGACATTTTTCATAATGGTCAAATTCAAGGAATGGCAATTACATGCAGTGTAATTAAATGTGAGAATTCAACAGTAAATTGCCATCTTACGCATGTGATCCAGTAAAAAAAAAAAAAAACTACATGAGATTGCAGGTTAAGTTAGTTTACTAATTTTTTTCATACATATAAGTACTTCCAACTGTCTTTCCTTAATCTCAAGAATGGAGTTAGATAGATGAAAGTTGAGACCAGATATGAAAAGATTAGGGGCAAGAAACCCCAATTAACTATATACAAACTTCTGATGAAAACCAGAAGTCACATTATTTGAATTAAAAAATTTATGCTTAAAAGGAGTTAGATAAATGACCAGCACAATTCTATTGCTAATGGAAAAGTATGAAGTACAGAGGCTAGATAATACTAATTTGAGGTGGAGAGCATATATTTTAAATTAAATTAATTAAAAATTGCAGCCCGGCATTGTGATGATGTCACAATAAATAACTGCTCATTCTCATTTATAAATTTTATAACAATATCTTTTATAATTACGTTGATTTTATTAAAATCATAACAAATTTTATTACAGTTTTACTTTTAGATAAATTATCTCATAGAATAATAAGATATTTAATTTTTGTTATTACATTAATGTTTAACAACAATTAAATTAATATGATTATTGAATCTAAGAATCTAAATTAAAATCTCACTTAGATCTAATAATCTAAACATCCTTAAAACTGGATATTTATTAAAAAAAAAAAAAAATTTAAAAACTTTTATGTGGAATTATGAAAAAAACTGTAATTATAATAAGTTAGCTTATTGTAATCACACGATGATTTATAATTGACACTGAAGTAGTCTAATCATTTAGAGTTTTAAATTAAAAGTGTATTAACAAATGTAAATAATCTCACCCTTCTTCCTCATTTCGATGAATTTGAAAAACAGTAACTAAAGCAGCAAATACATAGTCTTCGTGTGGCTTAACAGTATAAAATATCTATAAATAATTTCATAACAGTAAAATTCTAATTATTATTTTTAAAGGAATAAAAAAATCATATTTTTGAAGTATTGAAATAGTGACATTGAAAAAATTTAAAGATATAAGTTAAAGTTAAGTTGTTATTTTAAAATATGGCTAATATTAAAATTTCATTTCTTTACACTAAATATTACATCAAATTATCAAATCATTTACTTTATAGTAATATAGAAAACATAAGTAGTAAGTACTGTAAAATGAAAAATATTCTGTACTAGGGAAGTTCTATTAAAAAACACATAAAATAATAATAAAACTGTTATAATTTAGTAAGAGAAAACTAAGAATATTTTACTTCAGTATAATAATTCATTTTGAATAGTTAAAGAATTTTTAATCGTCTAAACAATCAAGTTACATTTTAATTAAAAATATCATTAAAACATCACCAAATGATCGCCTAAATAATCGGGCTATAATTTTGTTAATTTAAATAATTAACACAAAATAATTTTCTACTAGAGGTATATGTTAGGCACCATAGCCCAATTATTTAGGCAATCGTTTGGTGATGTTTCTATATACAGGTAACCCCCGTATAACACGACACTTCTATAGCACGAATTCACTTTAACACGGTTAGAGAATTGGGAACATCCCAAGTATAACATGGTGATTTTATAGCACAGGTTCACTCTAACACGGTTTGGGAATTGGGTAAAACTCTCGTACAACATGAAATGTAATAAGGGGTGCGTTATTTTATACTTCCGGTTAACTTTATGCGAGCATTCTAACTGTTTTTGTGTCTACTTTGAATGCTCTTTCAACAAATAATCCATTTAATGGTTAAATTTTACAATTGGGACCCTTCTTTTGCCTCTAAAAGCTCATTTTAGAATTATAGATTCCTCCATCACGATACAATCGATAGTGCGGGTGCCACCATCTTTCTTTCACCGTCATTCCTAAATACCTACAAACAGCAGTGCACTCCCGTTGCAGAGAGACCACTATTAACAAATGCACCCAAAAACTGTTACCAGTTGATGTGCTCATGCTGAGATCATCATATAGGATGAATAATCCTCTGATAAAATATTAACTTAAATAATAAATAAGTATTTTACCTATGAAAAAAATGAATTATAAATCCGATTAAAATAAGGATTTAACAGCATGTTTTTTAATTTTTGGAACCTAACCCCCCCTTTCGCACTAGTTCTTTGTTTCATATAACACGGATTCGCATAACATGGCAATTCTTTGGAATGTAACTCCAGTGTTATACGGGGGTTACCTGAACTTATCAGGCTTTGTGATGCTTGTTACACTTAAATATCATTGATATATTGATAATGATTCTAATCAATATATTCTAATATACATATTTTCTTATTAGAGATTAGTTTCTATGCATTTTAATAAAAAACTAAAAAATAAATATATATATATAAAAAAAATAAATAAAAATATACAAAAAATATTTTAAAAAACATGTTTTTTCATATTTATCATATTTTCTTTTGAAAAATGATAGGTATGTTTATAATATAACTATCATTTTTCAAAAGAAAATATGATTACTCATAAAGAAGTTAGCTTGCAATTAATGTTTAGACATCATACATTTTTCTGTCTATCTTTATATTTCTTTTATTCTTTTTCTTATATCTTTACATCTTTCTTTGCATGCAGTCAACAAATATAATTGTTTAGTTATAAAAAATATTCTCGGACAATATGCATTTCATTACACAATCATAATTTAAAGATCATATTATATTGAAGAATTTAGAATTTAAGTAACTAAAAATTTTTGCACAGTCTAATAGTCTATTTTTTATAACATTATAATATAAATAAACAAACATCATCACTAAACCTGATATACTTTAAAGCTATACACCAACCAAAGCCAAATATTATCGGGATAGAAACAGCTATAATAATTTATAAGACAATTTAGTGCTAGAGTTAGGCATTAGGCACCATCTCTTAGGTGCATCTGGATGGTAAGCAGGAGTTGCAGGTTCAAGTCCCGCTCCAGGCTGATTCTTTTCTTCCAGTAGTTCTAAATTATTTAATTTAAATTATAATTATTAAATATATCAAGAGATGGTGCCTAACACCTAACTCTAATGCCAAATTGTCTTATAAATTATTATAGCCATTTCTAGCCCGATAATATTTGACTTTGGTTGGTGTATAGCATTATAATATAACCCATAACAACAGAAATATTTGTTATTTTATATTGCAAGATATATTTATAACAAATTTCCAAACTACAGTGTATTCAACATAAAACCAGCTTCATTTACTGTTGACTAAGTTTTGAAATAAAACTAAGTTTTTTAATTTAATTTTATTTTGTTCCTTTTTCCAATATGAAGATTACAATAATTTAGTCAATCATGAATGGACTAAGTTTTGAAATAAAACTAAGTTTTTTAATTTAATTTTATTTCGTTCCTTTTTCCAATATGAAGATTACAATAATTTAGTCAATCATGAATGGAGCTGGTTTCATGTGGATACTCTGTAATTTCATACACATAAATGTTGTATACTCACTTCAACAGGATATTGCCTTCCTTCTATATAATATACAGGAGAATTATTAAAATACTGTGAGAAGTGGTCTACATCCATTGTAGCAGACATAATAATTACCTGTAATAGCAAAATTTAATGTTAAACTATCAAAATTTTACAATAATTTGACAATGCTTTAACACAAGACATAAAAAAAACACAAGAATAATTTAATCAATACAATTTGAATTTGGATCTTAAGACATTATTTTTATTATTCTTAAAATAATCATTAAAATTATGTTAGATGTTTTATACTAGTGATGGGACAATACCAAAGTTTCTCCCGATTCCAATTCTTTTGAATATGTATAGCACAAATGGTGGAATATCAACACCGTAGTAATGTAACACCAACTCATATCTCTAAGCCTGTAACGGTTCGAAAACATTTGTAACTGGTAGAGAGTAAGATAATACACGCACCACTAAAAGGCTTAGAGATACGAGTTGGTGTTATGTATAGCACTTTCTAAAGTTTATTTTAGTTTAGATAAATTAACGATTTACATTAAAAGCACAGTACATTCATTAATTAATAAACATCAAACTGAAGAATGGAAAATGATTGGGAAATCAAGAATCAATCTTTCAAAAGATTGATTCTGGATTTCCCAATCATTGTGAAAATTCTCCATTTATAAGAGGATGTGCATGCTTTCATTGTGTACTACAAATCACATACACTGAACCAATTTACGGTGTGGTACGATCAACAACGAAAAAAACAAATGTTTTCAAACCCCTTCTGGGCTCTTCATCAGGTTCCTATAGTTTTAGCTCGTAAATTCGATTAACGAATGCCGTTAAAATAACTTTGTTCGTGTACTACAAAATAAATTTGTAATCTTATTTTGGATAAAGTTAATATTGCAAAGAAATTACAACTAATTAATTCACTTTCACTCAAAGAACTATCTCAGCATGTCATGTTGGATCTCCATCTTTGGAAACTGTTTCATTGGCCAATGCAATGACTGTGAAAAAGGGAAGATAAATGGAAAGATATGTTTTTTCCATGCTTCTCGTAATGGGCATGTCTTGCAAATGATTTAACTCCATCATATTTAATACTAAATGAGGTTTGGCAAATGAGCCAAACAAATATCATTGACACAAGTTAACTGATTTTTGAATTCATTCACTCAAGCCACAAATATCTAGACCAACCCAAGTTGAAAAATCAATTTTTAAAACTCAAAACAGCATTAGATAGTGTAAACAAGTATTTTTACTCAGAATTGCACAAATCTCATTTGAAAGTTTAACATATTACAGCACATCAGTGAATCATAATAAAAACTTTCATAATTATAATGAAAAAGTTGTTTTATCATTAAGTAAACATGGTAGATATTAAAAACAATTTTACATAATATTGTTTCAATTAAAATATAATTTTGTTTACATTTTAAATTGTTTTGCCAACACTTAATTATTTGTTTCACTTGAAAATGAAACATTTTTTAAATTATGATATTGACAATTAAATATTAGTTTATTGGAAACTTTCATTTCAACAAAGTAGAAAGTACAAGACCCCCCCCATACATGAGGTGATAATCTAGTAACCATGGTTAGAGTTTGCTGTGACCATGCTCAAATTGTCCCTTTTTTAGGGGAGATATGGTGACTTCAGGTTGCCATCCGGCTGTCTTGACCAGCAATCTGTATTCTGTATCTGTAACAGAAGTGTACAGAATGTAACAGAAAGGTGTGTAAAAAATTTGAGAGGTTGTAGTGGGGTTAATTTTCTTATAAAATGTGGAAGAATTGTTTTTAAGAATCAGAAATTATGATGACATTTTCTCAATTCTGATACCCAAAAACTGTCTGATTTTTCTGATTCTCAATTCCAATTAATCGTTCCATCACTAGTTTATACCATTAAATATCCATCTAAAGAAATATAAAAACTCCTCATATTTTTCTTCTCAACAATGCAAATTCAGAACTACTTCTAAAAATTCAATACTTTATTCTTAGTTTTCAAACTAAACTTCAAACTCAGACTTTGTAAATCAAAAATTGATTTTTTTTGATAATTCTTAAAAAATAAACAAACTAGAATTCTTATGACAAAAAAAGCATTTGCATATTTCTAACACAGATAGTGCAATGAATCAAAAGCTCTATTTTCCGATGATGTACCCATTTATTATATGTTTATCTTCATATATTATATATGAGAATGAATAATAATATATTCTTAATTATATTTGTTCATTAGAATAAATAATAATATATATTTATGGCCCACATATGGCAGTTTATGAAATAGACAAATTACAAGACAAGTGCTGCTTATAAGATATTTGTTCTAGAAGAAAATTCCAACCAAGTAAATGACAGAATAAATAAAGTTTACTTAATCAAGTACTTTTATTTATTTTTGTAAACAAATATTAAATAAAAATAGTAACTTCAAAACTAAAGTTTTACTTTATTATGTATTTACTCTCGTTGAGAAGAATAAAAACTTAATGGAANTTGGAAGCAATTTGTAATTTAGTGATATACATTTTGGTATTAAACCAAACTGGTGGCACCTTAAAAGAAAAGTTAACTGTATGTGTACCTTGTGCCAACACTCTTTTGCTCTTAGAAGAGTAAAGAACCATCAGAAGAAACTACAAGAAAATGGTTCTTTGCTGTTCTAAGAGCAAAGAAACGTTGGCACAAGGTACACATCAACTGTTTTCTTTTAAGGTACCACTGGCATGGTTTAATACCAAAATGTATATCACTAAAATGTAAATATCATTGTTAAATTTCAAAGTTGAATAAAAATAATTGCTAGGCAACACCTTCAACTGGAAAAGTTTAGGAATTCATTCAAACAATCTACAAAAATAAATCTTATTTAACAATTACAAGCATTTCTTTTTATTTCAAATACTGTCAAACATTTAATATTTAGAACTCCTAAAAGACATGTCTCAAAAATATCCAAATAATGTAATTTTAAAAAACTTAAGCATGCAATTTATTTTTTATAATTATTGGAACTTCATTTTTAGACTTATTACAATAAAACCATGATTTAACAGATAAAATTTAACAGGTAAAAATTAATACCCTGTTGACTTTAAAATCATTTTATATGTAATTAAATTAACGGGTTTATTTATTTTATTTTATTTTTATTAAGAATCACTGCTTTTAAATTCACACTATGATGGGAATATCTCAATACATCATCTGAAATTGAATAAATAAGATTTTTTTTTTTGTCTTTTTTGTTAAATTTAAATTTTGTTTTCTTTTTAAGAACTTTATTTATTTGTTTAGTTAAATACAATTAAAGTGACAAATTATATGCCTTTGTGTCCTTATGTTTAGTACTTAATTTGTGTACAAGGACGCAATTTTATTACCAGGACTTATTATACTGGTGACTTTGTTCTGCAATTTAAGAAAACATATCAGAAAAAACAGTCTTTCAGCAGGTGAAAAATAAAGATTGTTTTTTCTGATATGTTTTCTTAAATTACAGAACAAAGTCACCAATATAATAAGTCCTAGTAATAAAATTATGTCCTTGTAGACAAATTAAGTACTAAACACAAAGTGTATTTTCAAAGAAAATATTTGTTTATTTATTTCAATTTGAAATGTAAAATAATCAGGTTTTACTGTATTTTTAAGCAAGAACAGTTAAGAAATAATCAATTAAAAAACACTCATCTAAAAAATGTTTTAAATTTAATGGATTCATTCAAAATATATAGAATTTACATGTGACTTAAATATAAAAAATATGGACTATATTTCTATTCTTAAAATTTGGTTTTAAAATTTCTGAAATGAAAACGTTTGAAATACTAAATTATAAACCTAAATTATTATTATTATTATATGAATGTCATGCACAGATGATACTGGTGCCAAGTGCTATGCAAGACTAAAGCCAAAGCATAGCTACCCAAACAAATGTAACATTAAGCTGTGTTATTGATGTATGTGTCAACATCTAGAATCTTCCTAATAATGTGATGTGTGTTCAATATTGAGGCTTTCTGTAGTGCCATGTATATGTTTATGTTATGATTTAGTGTTTCTAGACTTTTGTGTAGTGTATGTGGTATAACACCAGTAGAAGAGAGGACAACAGGTACAATAAATTCCTTATCCATTCTCCACATCTGTCTTATTTCTTGAGCAAGTGAAGGATACTTATTGATTTTCTCAGTGTGGGAATTTTTTTATGTTATGAGTGATTGGTACAGAGATGTCTATTATATAAGTGATGCTACTGAATTTGTCATTGAGAGTGATGTTGGGTCTATTGTGATGAATTGTTTTATCTTATATTTTGTGTGTGTCATTTCTAACTCAGGTAATTTTTTAATATTAATTAATCAAATTATTAGCTATTTCATATCAACTAGTCAATGATATTGTCACTTTCATTCAGTATTTCATAAGATCAATTAATTATAAAATTATTTTGTACATTCCTAACTGTGTATAATGCAACTGATAATGAGAAAAAATATACTGTATACAGTAAACAATTTACTTGAATTAAATACATATTTGTAAGAAGTGCGATATTCCCCATTTTTATATATATTTTTTTTAATCCTTTACAATTTTAATTATTTAATTGCTCCTTCCTCTCTTCTTGGCATGTTGTGAAATTTCTGATAGTTGGATAATAAACTGTTTTATTGTAATTTGTCTTTTTAAAATATTTTGAGTTGATATTACAATTTGAAAAAGGGGGATCCTTAGATCAGTAAAATAGGCGAATTTCCTCCTACAACTTCAGTTGTTGTTCAGGATACAGTTAAGGTTTTAACAAAGTTCGAGAGAATACATAATTAGCAAAAAATAGTTGAAATAAAGTGATTAAACAAAAATTATTACAAATATCATAAATAACAGTTCACAAATGCATATATAGAGATATTTTTTGGAGGGGGGAAATGGTCTTCACAATTTGAAATTGATCAAATTCATAATGAAATGCTCGTATACACTCACGCCATCTATTGTAGGATAAATGTACTATGCCAGAAATGTGGGAGTGTATTAAAAAACTTTCCAAAGTTTCATGGCAATCGTACTATGCCAGAAACCTTCACAGGAATATATTAAACAACTTCCCAAAGTTTCATGGCAATTGGATAAATGGTGTGGTAATGCATGAAGGACATACAGACAGAGAGACATACATTCATTTTTATATATATAGATATATAGATTATAATGCATTCCTCAGTCTGAATGCTTCAGTATCACACAAATGTGAAAAAAAAAAACACAATCTAAATAAAACTAAATAAATATAAGTCAACTTTGTAATAATTGATAAAATAGTATTTTTTGTTAAAATTATATTAATTATGTTAAATAGAACTACTGTAATAAAATAATTTAGACACATCTATTTTATATACATTATGACATACAAAACTTACCAAATTACTAACTGCTGTATTCCTTTCTAAAGCAACTCGTTCAGCAATAGTAATTGCTGCTACTCTTCGAGGCTGTAAAAATAGTATTCAAAATTATGATTAGTATATATAATAACTATAATTATTATATATATTATATAATAGTTATATATATAATTATAAATTAGAACACATGAGAGCGTCAATCACAAAACATTAGGGTTGGACCACTTGAAGGTGGTTAGGAACAAAGCATTTCGTATTTATATAAACTTAGTGCCCATTCTATTTAAATAGGGAGGTCAAATTACAATTCCTTAAAAAGTTTAATTCACTTTTTTAGTATTGTAGAGTGTAATATAGTAGTGTAATTTAGTCAGTGGAAGAATTATAGTTTGATAATGAAATATTATCTAAAAATGCCATTTTATAAATATTTAGTGTAGAGCTTCTGAGATTTAATATAACTGAGAAAATGTTATAATATTTAAAGTGAATTAAACTTTTCAAAAGAAACTGTCAGTTATTAAAAAAGTATATTATATATATACTGTACTTTTTCCTCTATAGCAGAGATCTCCAACCTTTTTCTGAGAAGGACCATGTGAGCTGTAAAAGACAATTCTAGCAGCCTCGTATGAAAGATTAGATTAAGATTTCTTTTATTTCTGAATAGCAAAGGACATAAATCAATGAGAAGTTTGTAAGTACTTTTTCAAAAAAGTCACTGAAATTATATCTAAATATTGCAGCACCCAATATTTAGATAATCACTGGATGGTGATGTTCAATATTTTGATTTTATATATTTCATTTTAAAAAAAAATTTAACCATAAAGATATGTAGCAAACTTCTTAAGAATTTTAACATTCACTTCTGATAGAGATTTGTAAAAATTTAACAAAGTTCCTTCTTTAAATAGGTTTCTATAAAATCATTTGCAGCCAGATCTATTAATTCCAGGTTACTTTTTAAAAGTTTATACAATATGTTTTGAACTAGTTCAAATGATGACAAAATTGAGTGAAAGGAAACTCTGTGGGCTATGTAAACATGCTTTGATAGTCATATTTTGCTATAGGTTGGAAACTCTTGTTCTATAACATTTTCTTATTTATTTACCTGTGTTATTCCAATTATCAAATCTTTCTGAATTCCTGATTGATAAATGTACTGAAAATAAATTTAAAAATACATTTCAGAATTATTTATATTAAACAATTCAATTTCTTAAAAGTGTATAAAAGACAGTTATTTTTCTTTATTATAAAATGGAACACAACAATTATGATACTAAGTCTCACACAACCTTTTAACATAGCAAAAAAGAAAGTTTATAAACCTGAGAATGGTCTTTAAATATAACCAAAAGCATTAGTTATTAAAGTTTTTTGCTGCTTTAAAATGTTGTGTGAGACTTAGTATCTACCAATGCAAATATAAACATCTATAAACCCAATTTTTAGATTAATTCCAAAATGATTGCTGGATTAAATAAGACTATACAGCAACTACATATAGACCAATGTAATCTGATAACCTTCTCGTCAGATTACATTGAAGGTAGTCAGATTACATTGGTCTATAGAATTATATTATATTGGACTATAGAATGTATATCAAGAAATTGTTTACTAGTAATTATATATACAAATGAAAACAGATATTTATAAAAATTCTATTTCTCAGAAACAAAAATTTTAAATTTTAAATTTGCAAGTGTAAAAAGTTTTTTAATAAAATATTCAATGACACTATTAGTATGATTTTGTAGTCAGTAAAAAGAAATATCAAAACATTTGAAAAAAGTGTATTAATTTTTCTAGGAAATTTTATGTTGAAACATATAAAATATTGCAGAAAATCTTCAGAATATTTATTATTAAAGAAACGAAAGCGCGAAATTATATATTAAGAAGACATCACTTATATTTTCCGATTTTATAAACCATTATAAGTTTATTTAAAAGCTTAATTCTAAAAATAAATTAAGCGCAATTTAACAAACAAGAACCAGTTTGAAACCAGTTAGTGTATTTTCTCCTGTTAAAAGAGAGAAGGGGGGAAACGCACGGAAAAAATTCATTAAAAATCTTTTTGTGTAGTTTAATATGAAATTTTCGGTGGTACCGCATCTACGTTTCTTCACTCTCCCCGTAAACAACGATAGACTCTTCCANCAAAATTGCAATGCAGCGTAATAATCAACACTTGGCATAACTCATTTGTTTATATCAGTTTTTGTTGATTTTATTATTTTTTCAAAATCGCAATGCAGCGTAATAACATTTGGCATAACTCATTTGTTTATTTCAGTTTTTGTTGAATCTTTATATTATTTTTTCAAAATTGCAATGCAGCGTAATAATCAACACTTGGCATAACTCATTTGTTTATATCAGTTTTTGTTGATTTTATTATTTTTTCAAAATCGCAATGCAGTGTAATAATCAACACTTGGCATAACTCATTTGTTTATTTCAGTTTTTGTTGACTTGATCCTCATATGTGAATGGTGCCGTTTCTGTTCTTTCATAATCTTCTTTCATATTTCATTTTCATATGAAAGAACAGAAACAGCACCATTCACATATGAGGATCAAGTCAACAAAAACTGAAATAAACGAATGAGTTATGCCAAGTGTTGATTATTACGCTACATTGTGATTTTGAAAAAATAATATAAAGATACAACATGGTTTCGAAATATGAAAGACAATTAAATTTGATTAATTTATTGCATTAAATTACCTGCCATAGTTTGATGAGTAATTTATGCTGTACTTCTAACAAAAAATAATAATTAATAAAATGAATTTAAAATAAAGTTCTAAATATTGAATTTATAAGATATTATATTCTTACCTGTGGAATCTGTGTTGTTTTTCCACATGCTGTTTCGCCAATAATAATAATGCAATTATGTTTAATAATTTCTTTGATGAGTTTCTTTCTCACAGAAAAAATTGGTAAGGACTTTCTTTCAAAAATTATTTGAGTCCTATCTTCTGCCTCATTGTTCATTTCTGCAGTACACAAATAAAATTTTAAATTTAAATATTTAGTATCAAAATGAATACTTTCTTAAAATTATTGACTCCATCAAGATTAAATTCAAGCAATTGCTATAAAAATTCAAGAAGGTAACCTATTTATTTCCAATTAAATGCTTTTTAAGACCATTTCATCTTGTCATCAGATTGAACATTTAACAAATTTGAATGCAGACTTTCACAATAACAAAATGATAGAAAACCCCTGCTAATATGCCATCTGCCAACCACCAACTGTATAGGATGGACAAAAAATCCTTTCAATGTTATTTTTATCTTCAAATATATGCCATATACAGTGTTTCTGGATTTCTGGATTTACATATTTTTGATATAGACCTACATACATCTACATACACTTAGGTACTGTACCGTACATATTATATAACATACAATACACATGAAGTGAAATCAATATAAAAATTATTAGGAGCTAAATTTCATGGAATTGCTATTTTATGAAATTACAGGGGAGATGACTCCTCCTTGCTGGTTTATGCTGTTATGTTGTTAATTATAATAAACTATGATTTGGTTATTCTGGATGCTGGTCTATAAAGATCAAAATTTAATAAAAAATTTTGATCTACTTAAATTTAATAAAAAAAGAATTTAAATTATATTACTATATTATCAACTGATGCATTTAAATTTTAAAACATTTTGTGACTTTAAAAACTGTTGTATTAGTTAAGAAAAAATAAATTTGAGAAAATTCTTAATAATCTAATATCAATAAAATTTGTTTTTGAAATACAAGTACAGTAGAGCATCGATTATCCGACCCCCAATTAACTGTCACATCGGTTAACTGACCAGTAGCCGGCAAATTTCGAATGTTCGCTAGTGATGTAGCATTACAATATTTGGCTATGTCTTGGTTACTTTAATATTATTTTTGTTAAATTTTTGCATGTTTTAGCTGGCAACACCGACTCAAACATTGAAGGGAGGCCAGTATTTAAATGAGACTTAATTTTCTAATTATGAGTGGTGTTTGTTTTGTGAGCATAAAACAATTTTAAAATAATTTTTAACGATACAATAGCGACAATTATTATTTTAAAAAAAATTTGTTAGGCTTAACATTGATGAAAATTCAATGCAAAGTTGGTTAATAGCGATATACTAATATACTAATTACATGGGATATACTAATATACTATACTAATAATGTATTTTTTTCGTTCTTTTCGGTTATCCGATTTTTTTCAGTTATCCGACCAACCTGAGTCCCCAAGTAAGCCAGATAATTGATGCTCTACTGTACTGTATTTTAATTTGCTCTAACCTTTCATAATTACCTTTACATCTATAAAACTATAAATCAACTTGTTACACAATCTAATACAAAGCAATTGGTTTCTCTTTGGACGATCATGACTTTGTTGGAAAATCATTATTGGGGCATTTTGTTCATTTATATACTTAATTATCTCAGTTTACATAACAGATACCATTTTCATTATTAATCTTACTTAATTATACACAACAATTTTTCTGTTGACATTAATAAATTTTATGTTACAATTTTTTATAATTGGGCTACAATTTTTAATCTGTAGATCTATAAGTTCCCACTGGATCTGTCTCTGTCTGTCCTTCCTTAATCTTGATAACAGAGTTAGATAGATAAAAGTCAAGATCAGATATGGAAAGATTAGAGGCAGGAGGTCCTGATTAACTATATTGAACTTCTGATCTGGATCAGAAGTCATGTTATTTCAATTCAAAGGTTTTCTCCAGAACAAGTTAGATAGATGACAGTTGTTAACAGGAAAAGTACAGGGGCATGGCTTTGTTGTTAACAGGAAAAGTACAGGGGCAAGACTACTAAACTGAGAGCACATATTTTAAATTAAATCAATTTAAAATATGATTAAAAATTGCAGCGTGGCATCATGATGCTGTCACAATAAATAATTACTCATTGAAAAATATCTTTCCTTTGAATATTTATCAATACTATATCTTATTTTTTACATCAAAAATATCAAAATTCACAATCAATTTTTATAATATCTTAAAAAATTGCCGCTTTAATCATTGTGAGAACATTATGATAAGGATGGCCTAACCACTGTAGTTATTTCATATTACATTATAATTATTGAATGGATATTTTTTTTATAAACTTATACAATCTTTATGAAATAATTTATTTTTATGCATTAAACAAACCTTATAAATGCTCATTGGAGAATAAGAAATTTTGCCCAAATGTATCATCATAATTACATAAACAAATACAGGTTTGCAATCTTTTATCCAAAATCCCAAAAACCAAAGATTTTTTTATGGAGCATTTTTACAAAGATGCCATTGCTACTGTTCATCTCTGTCTCATGATTAGACAATCATCTCTCCTAGTGTTCTGTCTATGGCATTCATCACCTGACAGCATGTATATGTGGCAGATATATGTGCTGGACATATCTACTGTTTCCAACATCTCTTTTCAGTCAGATCAGAATGGTCCAGATGACCAACCTGCTTTCCTCAACTTGATGAGGAACCTGTCTCAAATTCTATCAGCTGTGCATAATGTCTTTAATTATTTTGTGCAGGCATGTCTGATGTTAGAAGATTTCCAAACATAGTGTGAGCCGCCAGGAAATTCCTCTCCTTTCCGGCAACAGGTCAGTGACCTTTCTTGTCAAGGATGGTGTTTACGTTCCATTACGCGTTACGCGAGTGGAGGAGAGTCAGAGGGGTCAACAATAAAACGATGGCACAGTCAAATAAAAACACCATTTTTAACAAAACAAGAGTTTATTTAACTAACTAACAAAATTAAAATTTCAAAACTCCTTCTAATTCGCATATGAGAGAGAGAGTTTACAATAAAGCTTTCATACCTCCTGAGAAACCATCAGTGTGATAATTCTTCGGTAAATTGTCACAGGTTCTAAGGGTTTCGGAATAGGTCTGGCGACTTCTTTTGACGAACTTCAAGCGACTCCCTGATCAGTGACTCTCGTGAGAGGGGAAGGAGGATGCCTTTTATGCTATTTGTGGTGGGAAAATTAGTCAGGTGATCAATTGTTTTAGCAGGTGTGGGGTTAAAGGTGGAGGAAGAATGGCAACAATATGACGAATTTCGCCCATAAGTGTAAACTATGCACGGGTTCATCGTGAGAATGTTTATATTAAAACACAAAAATCTCACGGAATTTATATTTTCATTTATATTTCATTTCTGTAGGTAAGGATTAAATTCCTTTCGTGAAATTAACTAAATTTCGAATCTCACAATAGTGAGCCTCTGCAAGCATTTTTATAGAATACTGACAGCAATTTTAAGGCACTCTTGTAGCATTACTCGGCATGCAATCAGAGTACAACTGTAATCATTTATATATCTGTCTGAGATATAGCTGTATGCCAAGTTTTGTAGTAATTGAACAATTCTATGCATAACTTATTGTCAATGAGTATATAACAAATGCCAGGGCCGGATCATCGCATAGACAAATGAGACAAATGTCTAGGGCCCGGTTTTTAGAAGGGCCCAGTCAAACTGTCTATTTTGAAAAGATTTGTAAATAAGATAGATTACTCTTCTGTTGGACAACTGTATAATACTGGTAAAATATTATATTATTTAAATATTAACCAAAAAGGTTAAATTAAACAAGTAAAACGGCAAAACCGTATTTGGGACACGACTATGTCTCGGAGACACTACTAAGCGGAATCACTTTGACGCTCAAAGCGGATCTCTTTCTCATTCTCCAATCTTCTTTGGTATCGCTGCTTTTGGGCGCGATCGTTCAAACTTCGCCAGCCACGACCACGAGGTCGTCCACCATGCATTTTCGATGAAATTAACCTATCCAATTTCGAAATTTCTCTCCGTTACGTGTCGGCCCGGGTTGAATTTTTGTCGATGCGTAACGAAAATTTCCCGTTTTTGAAAAAAATAATCGTGGCTATTGTATCGTCCAAAATTTTTTTTTTATTTTGCACAAACAATATACAGTTTAACCTGATTATAACGTCAAATTTTTACTGGTCCCACGATTTTACTATACTAGACAATGTTAAAAAACCTACTTGTAACGACATAAAACCCTGTTTTAATGTCATATTTGAAGCACTCCCAAATTTACAAAATTAGATTACAAATTTTATTTAAGAAAGAAAATACTACGTGTTCAGTCCTAGGGTCAGAGTCCATTTCCTTGAACGACTGTGGGTGGTACTCTCACCACCTGACTTCGGTTTGCCTGTTTGTAGAGAGAGTCGCCATTTTGTATTTTACTTTCACTCGGTTCTCGGTCCCGAGTACCTACAAGTCAGGTTTTTTTATGCGCGCATGATTTGGGCACTTAATACTCTGTGCCAAATTGCAACTCCTGACATGTACTCCTTCATACCTCTAAGCTGGTAACACAGCAAGCAGTACGATTTTATAAACAAGACATAGTCTTGTTGACAATTATTTTTTTTTAAGGTAATATTGTTATTTTACAACAACTTTTGTTAGACATTTAATAAAACAAATTTCAATATTTTAAATTTATAAACAAACTGTTCAAACTTTTCTAGAAAAACTAAAATTTATTGTTGTGTATTAAATATTTTTTATTAATAAAAATTTAAGATTTGTTTTAGTTTTTCACATTATTTAGTTTTGTTTTATTTATTGTTTTATATTTTTTGTCCGCTCTATTTCTAGTGTGAGAAAGGGGGGCCCGTAAGAAGAAAATGTCTAGGGCCCCAAAGTGGGTTAATCCGGCCCTGACACATGCTATATCATGAGATCACATGTGTAAAATCTGTAAAGCTTCTTAAATTCCGTTGCGCCATCTATCTTTACAATAATATACTATTGTTAATCATTTTAGTAATATAAAATACAGAATTATAAAAATCTATAAATTAAATTAATTACACACAGCTACTCTAGATACGTAAGTCATGCTTCATTTGTAATCCCGTATAAAAACATGTATTATTGACATGTTTAAATTCATAAATGATCACGAAACAAAATCATTAAATATACATTAATACTTACCTTTATCTGTATTCGGCTTCATTACATATAAAAAAAAATTAGGGATATATAAAGTAATTCATATATAATTTACAGGTTACACACAGCCATGTGCACGATCCGCCGGACTGTTTCATGTGTCCTATTAAAAGTGTTGCCAATAAATCCAAATTGTTTGCGTTAAATTTATTTCTTTATAAACGTATAATTAAAAATAAACAAAACAAAATTTTATTAATTAATACACATTAATAAGTTTAAAATAAAATATTTCATTTTTATTCAGAATAAATTTATAACGTTTCGGGAAGTAATATCATTTTATTAACGCTTAAAAGCGTTCAATTTCTTAATGAATAAGAAAATAGAATATTTAAAAAATAGTATTTATTAATTTTAAAACGATTTAAATAAAATTATTTAAATAATTTATTCGGAAATTACAGACGAAAAAGTTAGGTGGCGTTTAATTATTTACTTTGTCCTGATGTACGATGTGTAAATTGCTATTTGTTATTGTTCCTATAAAAACTATTTTAATAAATAATATTTTATTAATATAAAATTATAGATTATAAATATTACTATACGTTTGTGGATATATTTTTCAAGTTGTTTTATTGTTCTTTTGATAAAATGTATTAAAATTAGAATTTTCTCAGAAATTTCTTATTAATTCTTGAAATATTTCAGGTAATTTCGTTCCCAGTTGAGCATCAGAACGAATTCTGATAACTTGAATAAAATATTAATAAAATAAAAAGTCTTGAATTCAGGTATGAAAGCAATAAGAAATGACCTTTGACCCAACATGAATACATGTGCTTAATTAAAGATGGACAAGTCTTCCTTGACTTCCTGCTTAATTGCATAATAATTTGCACAATATAAATAAGGATGTTTTATAGTTTTACACTATTGTTTTACAGCTGATTTAATTAATGCATTATTAACAGTGGGTGAAGTTTAAGGTACAGTTACACCTTCAAATGAGACTGTCAGGACTTTATCAAAGCCATAGATATTGATAAAGTCCCAACAGGAGCAAAAAAGTTGAAACGCACCTTTATGTGTGAGTCTTTGCAAGATACAGCCCCCAATTAACACTAAAACTAACTCCAAAACCATCTAATGTGAAAAATTTCTTTATTCGAATGTTTTCAATCATCATAAACAAAATCTTCAGGATCATTTAAGACAGTTGTGAAGATTTTGTTTAAGACAATTGTCTTAAAATCTTCACGACTGTCTTAAATGATCCTGAAAACATTTGAATAAAGAAAACATGAACAACTGAAAACATTTGAATAAAGAAATTTTTCACTGTATTAGGATTAGTATTTGTATAAGTGCAGTTTGTATAGGAGTAATAAGCTAACACTAACGTTAGCAGTCCATCTTTAGTTGTGAACATGAATTTAAATTAATAAATATTTTCATTTACATTTATATATTATTTATTCAGCTTTGTCAATGATCACATAACTTGTTTTTTTATTCCATTGTTTTATTTCTATCTTCTATATTTTGGTTTGATACAATGTAAATAGAATGTTTATGATATCATGAAGGAAATATGAACTGAAAACTATAAAATTTCACAGCTGTAAGATACTAATTGGAAATTTTGTATTTCTTTATTTTAAGATTCCCCTCAGTTATTAATTTTTTAATATGATTTTACAGTGCAGAAGCAAGAAGTTAAGAGTAGATAAGAATTATTCATTTCTAAATACTTGTTTATGTGTTATTGGTTGCTAAAGATATTTTTTGATTAATATAACATAATCAAATTTTTCAATAGTACAAATGTCCATTCAAGAAGAGTATACATAATTATGTACACTTAAAATTATTTTTAAAAATATTGATATAATAAATGACTAATATATTATTTCATTTTATTTAAAATATTTTAAAACTTAATTTAATATTAAAATTAATTTACGATAATTTTATTTCTAGATGCAAAAGAGGTGATATTTTTGCATATATGTCATTGATAGAGTCAATGAGTTTTTTGTATGATGATTGTGGTATGGCAGATATAGATAAATGGCTGATATTTAGTATACTGAGTCGAGAATTTCTCACCAACATTAAAATAGCTTGTGTGTTTGGAAGTTCTGGCAACGAAGCCCTTATTGTTACCAAAGATGATGAAGTTTATGCTTTGGGATCAAACACTAGTGGATGTTTAGGTTTGGGCGATTCACATGGAAGTTTGGAGCCAAGAAAAGGTATTAAATAAATTTTTTTATTTTAATTTTTTAAATATTTAAAAATAAATTGTACAAAATAAATGTATTTTTAAATAAACAACATAATTATTATTATAGTAATTTATACTATTATTATTATATTTATTATATGTTTCTGTTTCATAGATTTTTTTAGAATGATATGTCATTGCTTAAAATTATAAAATAAAGATAAGAATATATTTTGGAATAAAAAATGTTTTATAATGAGTATCATAATTGCTGAGCTCTCTTATAGGAAATTCTAAGCTAGAAATTTGAATTAAGAACTGAAAATTTGCTAATGTGTTTAATGTATTAATGGCTTGTGTTTCACACATTGTTTATTATTGATTATAGTTAACATAGTCTCTCGCTAATGCAGTTATAATGCAGACATGCAGTTACACCTTCGAACAACAGTCTCATTCGAAGGTGTAACTATACCTTAAATGCAATCATACCCATTAACTTATACCCATCAATGCAATCAGAGAAGTGCTAGATTAGCAAGAGTACAGGATTACTGAGAGTGTATAGATTTAAAGACAAAGAATGATGTGACCAGTCACTTTTTACTACCAATTTTTTTTGGAGGCAGGTGACAAATAATATAACATGCTGAAATGAAACTCAAGAAAACAGGATATGTGACATGACTAGCATTTTTGTGAAAACAGGAGCACATGGGCAATTACACTAGAGGGCATATGGATTATTGAAGGCCATATTAACTAGAGTCTACTTTATATTACAAGTTAATGGGCACCCAGGATGGTGAAAGGGGTTAATTGTTGTATGTGGTGCAGGGCAGTTGTGGTGGTCACTAAGGCAAGAATTCCATTAGATAAGGAAACTATATAACAACTCACAAACACCTTCTGTACTTATTTCAGCAGGTATGCTTATTAGAAAAACAAACGTTTTGATCACTTTCAGAGACATTTGTCAGATTATTATGTTTCCATAAATTGAATATGATTAATCGTAAAATTTTAAACAGAACATTCTGTACAAAATGTGATGATATTGAAATTCAAATATAACAATAAAAATTACAAAGTATGTAAAAAAGTAACAGTAATAACAAAATGTAATGTGTGTAATGACAAAATACAACACAATCAAAAATTTTTAACTGGTGCAGAACTTTTTAATACAGTTGGAGATAGCCTAGAAAAATTAAATGTTGTAACATACACACTATAACAAGAGATTGTGGTGACAATATTTATAACATTGTGCTAAAGTTTACCACAAACAAAGCTAACAAATCATTGTTTGCCGTGCTTGTGATAGGTTAATATTTTCTTTACTATTAATGCAGCCTCTCTTGAATATTATGGAAACATAATAATCTGACAAAGATCTCTGAAAGTAATCAAAAATATTTGTTTTTCCAATAAATATACCTGCTGGAATAGGTACAGAAGGTGTTTGTGCATTATTAAAAAAAATTAATTTAAATATTAAGAACAGTATTTAAAAAGTCCAAAATACTTTTAAATTAAAAATAAGTGTTGTTAAGTATAGGTTCATATTATTTCACTCTCAAATACAGTATTTCCTGCTCCAAGATCCCACCTTGATGTGAGCAGGCTTGCCTGGCATTTCTGGTCAAGAGGTACTGTACCTTCTACACCAGGAATGGAGATCCTTTTTGAGCCACATATTAAGCATACTTAGCTTTAAAGATGTTTATGCATGCCAAAGTTTTAGACTTCAAATAACAATATTTAAAGAAATTAAATGAATATGCTTTAATTAGACTAAATGTAAATGGCTAAGTGAAAAAAAGGGACAATTGAGTGATAAATCAATAGGATGATTGAAAAAGACAGATGATAATCAAAATCATATGATACATTACATACTAGATGATTTCTCCTTACATGCCTTATATGTTTGCCATCCCTGCTCTAGACCCTGTGAACTAAGTCAGCAGCAACTTTGCTACCACTAGGGTTACCCATGCTAAACAGGTCAGAGGTTAGGGACCAGACTAAGAATCATAGGATCATTAGCCCTCCATATTGGGGTTGTGTGTGGGACTAACTACCCCATGTAAAAATTCTACCTTGTTAAAAGAAGGCAAAAAGAAAAAGTACAGTATTTAAATATGTAATATTTTTTTATTTTCATCATAATAATAGTCATAACTTTTTATAAAATAAATGTTAATTATGAGTATTTATTTTTATAGTTTACTATTATTAAAAATTTTTTAATTCTAAATAATTTTATTAGTAAATCTATCTAATAATTTTATTGGATACAGACCTAAATAAGTATTTTTGTACTTTATAAAATGCTATTGACATTGAGTTAAAATAATCTATTATTATTTATAATAAAAATAAATTAATATCAAGCTATAACATGATGACATGTTTATTTTTTTCAGTGGAAAGTTTGCATAGAAAGGGAATTAAAACTTTTGCTTATGGAAGTGGACCACATGTGCTTGCTGTAACTGAAGATGGTGAAATTTACAGTTGGGGTCATAATGGTTATTGCCAGTTAGGAAATGGTAGTACTAACCAAGGGCTGTTTCCGGGATTAATATCTTCTAGCTTAATAGGAAGAAAAGTAAAAGAAGTAGCATGTGGCAGTCATCATTCAATGGTTCTTACATGTGATGGAGAGGTTATTATTTTTATATTATTTCTTAAACATCTTTTATTAATTTAAAAATAAATCTATTAAACTAAAAAGTTTTTATATTGTATTCTTTCCAAAATGTGTGATCAAAATCTGAATATTGATACATATAATGTACAGTGGTGCCTTGACTTACAAATGTCCCAACTTACAAGTTTTTCAAGATATGAGCCGTCTCTCAGCCGATTTTTTGTTTTGAGTTGAGAGCTAAAATTCATGTTACAAGCCAGCTTCACACCACAGCTAGTTGCCACAGCAAATGACTCAGCAAACCATAGATTAAGATAAAGAAGATGAAAAACTGCCATAATTTTGCAATTTTTGTTACTCTTCCAATGTCTGACAGATTAGCTTATAGAAAAACACATGATCAAATGACATAGGCATTAGTTCACTTCCATGTTGTGTGTGGCGCCACCATCTCTTATTTTTTGAATTTTCCATCTTTTCTTTCTTTATCTATGCAGCAAACACCACAACATCTGCAAAACCAGTTTATTGCAGTACATTCTATTGTGTTTTTATACAATATTCATTATTTATAAGTACATTTTTCTTATTTAAAAACATGTAACAAAAACTGTGGTGTTTGGGGGTCAGGAACAGATTAATTCAATTCATTCATTCAATGAAGAAAATTGATTTGACATACAAGTAATTTGAGTTACGAGTTCCATCATGAAACAAATTAAATGCGTGAGTCAAGGCACCACTATATTTAAAACACAGATCTTTATAAATTTCTCTAAGATGATGATATTTAATTTATATTTTTATATAACTTTTATAATATTGTTAATTTCTGTCATTGATAGAGTCAATGAGTTTTTTGTATGATGATTGTGGTATGGCAGATATAGATAAATGGCTGATATTTAGTATACTGAGTCGAGAATTTCTCACCAACATTAAAATAGCTTGTGTGTTTGGAAGTTCTGGCAACGAAGCCCTTATTGTTACCAAAGATGATGAAGTTTATGCTTTGGGATCAAACACTAGTGGATGTTTAGGTTTGGGCGATTCACATGGAAGTTTGGAGCCAAGAAAAGGTATTAAATAAATTTTTTTATTTTAATTTTTTAAATATTTAAAAATAAATTGTACAAAATAAATGTATTTTTAAATAAACAACATAATTATTATTATAGTAATTTATACTATTATTATTATATTTATTATATGTTTCTGTTTCATAGATTTTTTTAGAATGATATGTCATTGCTTAAAATTATAAAATAAAGATAAGAATATATTTTGGAATAAAAAATGTTTTATAATGAGTATCATAATTGCTGAGCTCTCTTATAGGAAATTCTAAGCTAGAAATTTGAATTAAGAACTGAAAATTTGCTAATGTGTTTAATGTATTAATGGCTTGTGTTTCACACATTGTTTATTATTGATTATAGTTAACATAGTCTCTCGCTAATGCAGTTATAATGCAGACATGCAGTTACACCTTCGAACAACAGTCTCATTCGAAGGTGTAACTATACCTTAAATGCAATCATACCCATTAACTTATACCCATCAATGCAATCAGAGAAGTGCTAGATTAGCAAGAGTACAGGATTACTGAGAGTGTATAGATTTAAAGACAAAGAATGATGTGACCAGTCACTTTTTACTACCAATTTTTTTTGGAGGCAGGTGACAAATAATATAACATGCTGAAATGAAACTCAAGAAAACAGGATATGTGACATGACTAGCATTTTTGTGAAAACAGGAGCACATGGGCAATTACACTAGAGGGCATATGGATTATTGAAGGCCATATTAACTAGAGTCTACTTTATATTACAAGTTAATGGGCACCCAGGATGGTGAAAGGGGTTAATNATATAATAACAATGAGCAATTATTTATTGAGACATTGTCACAATACCGGGCTGAAATTTTTAATCATATTTTTTTAATTTATTTAATTTAAAATATATGCTCTCCACCTCAAATTAGTAGTCTTGCCCCTGTACATTATACTTTTCCTGTTAGCAATAGAGTCATGCTGGTTATCTATCTAACTCCTCTCAAGGGAAAATATTTGAATTGAAATAATGTGATTTCTGGTTTCCATCAGAAGTTTCTATACAGTTAATCAAGGTCTCTTGCCCCTAAGCTTTCCATACTTGGTCTCAGCTTTCATCTAACTCCATTCTTGAGATGAAGGACAGACAGACAGACAGACAGTGGGAATTTATAGGTCTATAATTTTTTCAAATTGCAGCCCAACAATATTGCAGTCAATATTTATAGTTTTGTACATTATATAGTTTGATTGAAATTATGAAAATCTAGTTGCATTAGAAAAATTTTCTAAGAAAATTAATGTAAATATTTAATTTACACTGATGATAACTGTATAGACATTATTTAATTATTTGAAATTCATGTTTAATAAAAATTACATTTTTATTGCAATATAATGCTAGATCTGGATTTCATTCTAGATGAGAGGAAGGTCCCTTAATTTTTGTTAACTATTCAATTAACTATAAATAATTTTGTATTGAGTGTATAATTAGAGGTCTTACTTTTACACTTCATTTTTTAATGTAATTTTTATGGTTTTTAATTGTCACTCTTATATAAAAATATTTCTGGTTTTCAAAACTTACATTTTATATCTTTTTTACTTTATCCAGGTTTTTATCATTTATAAAAATTTACTTAAAGATAAGTTATTAACAGTCATTGTGTATCACTTTCAAATTTGGTTTATCATTTTATCATATTTGCTATTCCATTTTATTTATTTATTTATTTTTTTTAACAGAACATTTTATACAAATCTTTTCCAGTATTGTTAACTTGCATATTATTTTTACAACAAAGTTTTATATAAAAGTCATACAAAGACAAAGATTATTCATGCTGTAGATGGCATTAGTTTTAATTTTTCAACAGTGTAAACTTGAGAGATGAAGCTAATGATTTCAAAATAATTCAGTTTAAGAGAAATTTTTTAATTAAATTGATCTTATTTTAAATCAGAAAAATTAAATGCTTTAGCATTAATATTTTTAAAATACAAAATTGTTTATTTTTAAAAAGTAATAACTAAATTTTTAATAGGCTCTAGAAGATGTATATCAATTGCTTGTGGTCAGACTTCTTCAATGTGTGCATTAGATAATGGTGATGTAAGTAATTTAATAATGAAATGTATTTATAAAAACAAAAACTTAATTTTCTTTAATACAAAGGTTGTTCCAAAAGTAATGCACAGTTGGCTCTAACTCAAAAAATATATATTGAAGAAGATACAAATGATTACAAGCCTTCAAAATAATTCCCTCCCTTTATCCAATGCACGCTTGCCAGTGGCACGGAAGTGCTTGGATTTCATTCAGCATCCCCTTCTTATTGAGCATCCGAATCTGTCGGGCCACTTCTCTTCAGAGTTCTCCCAGCATTGGAAAATGCACCCCTCTGAAGGAGTTCCTTCAGCTTGAGGAAGAGATCAAAGTCAGGTGGGCTCAGATCAGGACTATAGTATAAGCTGGGTGGTGGAGCTGTTCCCAGCTGTATCTTTTGAGAAGTTCGATGATCAGTGCACTGATGCCGCCACCTTTTGTTTGCCTAGCACCTGTGTTAAAATACGATGCATGCTCATTTTCGAGATTCCTGTCTCCACCTTAATTTTTCTTTCTTTGTTGAGCAACGTTGCAATGATTGAAGCGTTTGTGTTGTCAGCTATTACAGTAAACGGCTGCCCCACGCGTGGATTGTCTTCAATGTTTGTTCGACCTTCTCGAAACTTTATGTGCCACCTCTGTACTGTGCTACAATTCACAGTAAACCTTCCACATGCTTTTTTTAACATGACATGAATTTCAGGCACTTTTTTACTGCATACTGTTTTCATGCAAATATATGCACTTTGCTCTATTGCTGAAATCCGACCCAATGGACTGTTCTTATTGTCTTTTCAAATTTTTGGCATTTTCCCTTTAAATGAATCCCACTACCATATGATACCAACGTGCTCATAAGACTTTAATCTACACACTGATGCTTTGATCAGCTGTCTATGTTGCCTACAATGCCCTCTAGAGCATGCATTACTTTTGAAAAAACCCTCGTAATAAATTAATAATTATGTTTTTAGTTAAAGTTTCTATTATGGTAGAGTGTCGTTTATCCGAAAGCCGATCAACCAAAACGTCGGTTAACCAAAAGCATTCCCATTGGACTGTGTCATGCTGAATCGAATGTTTTTGATACTAGATTAACTTCTAAAGTATAATTTTTTTTTGTTTTTATATTTTTCAATATATTTATTTTGTTTGTACAAAATAAAGAAATAATTTTTAACAATACAATAGCCACGATTATTATTTTAAAAAATTTACGTTAGGCTTAACATTGACAAAAAGTGCAATGTGAAGCAACATGCAATGGAGAAAAATTTCAACATGGGATAGGTTAATATATTTTTTCATACCTGATCAGTTGTCTGAAAAACAAGTTATTCGAACAACCCCAGTCCCCAATTGATTTGGATAAATGACACTCTACTGTAGTTTATTGCTGTTTAATTACTATGTTATAATCTAAAAACTTTTAATCTAATTTTTCAATCTGAATTTTATTAATACAGAATTAGTTGTATAAAGTATTATGTCATTACAGTAGAGCATCGATTATCCGACCCCAGATTAACCATCCGCATTCTAGTCGGCAAATTCAAATGTCTGCTAGTGATGTGGCGCTACACTATTTGGCTATGTCTTGGCTACTTTAATATTATTTTTACGTGTTTTAGCTGGCAACACTGGATCGACCATGAAGGGGAGCCAGTATTTAAATGAAGCTTAATTTTCTAATTTTTAATGATACAATAGCAACGATTATTATTTTTAAAAAAATTTGATAGGCTTAACATGGAGGAAAATTCAATGCGAAGTAGGTTAATAGCGATATACTAATATACTAATTACATGGGATATAATAATATACTACACTAATAATGGATTTTTTCATACTTTTCGGTTATCCAACTTTTCAATTATCTGACCAACCCCAGTCCCCAAATTGAATCGGATAATCGATGCTCTACTGTACTTAACATTTATGCCATCTGCAATCTTAGCCATTCTCTGCATAGTCTTAAGTATCAAATACATACCTAGCCTTCTTCTTGCATAATGGATACATTTCAAAAAACACCACATAAAACAAAAATTGCCTAAAAAGTACAGTACATGCATCCTGTAGAATGCTTGATAAGATCCAGAACTTCAACGGAACAAAAATAAGCAATTTAGAAAAGAAACACAAGCTTTTTTTTCTAACATCATTTATGATTATTTGTACATAAATATAGTAAACAGAAGGTAGCATAGGAAACAAAATCAGCATATAGTATTGTGTGATGTACTGTACTGTGCTTAATAAAATTTATTGTTTAAAAATTTTTCTCTCCATAAAAGAAAAAGTTTGTAAATTTCATTTCAAACTTGTAATGTGTTTTAGGATTGAGGAAGTATGGCATCAACATAGATTAAATTTTTATTTCTAGGCACAAATTAATTTATTCTTTTTTATATTTTTAAATTAAGTAAATTTAGAGAAAAAAATTAAATTGGAAAGTTCTTTTTGTTTCCTGAGTGAGTTTTTCTCTTGAAGCTTGACAGTATTTTATTGTTATTCCCAAATTCTAAGAATAACTATTTTCAATTCCAAATTTTTGAATCTATATTGCATATCAATAATTGAATATTTTTTACATACGTAATCAAATTATGATGATATTATTACTTTTTCTTGAATTAGTAAATCTTCTATAAAATATATGATTTTTTAATTATATAATTAATAACATTTTTGAACAATAAATTTATTTTATATTTCAAGTATCAAAATAAATTTCTGTTTCTTTTATGTTTTATAAAGGTTTATGGATGGGGTTATAATGGTAATGGACAACTGGGCTTAGGAAATAACGTAAATCAGTCAAATCCATCAAGAGTGGCTAATCTTCAAGGAGTTGTAATTCAAAAAGTATTTACTTTCTTTTTATTGTATCAAAAATATTTTAATGTAATAATATTTTATAGCATCAGTATTAAATATAAAAATACAAGGGTCACTATGACAGTTTTGAAATGCATTTGTATAATCTATTATTTGCATATAAATGCAAATAATAGATTATACAAATCTATTATTTAACAGACAACAATTTATAATTTCAACTGCAATTGTTTTATTGTAACTCATTTATCATTTAAACAGATGACAAAATGTCAAAGATAACATTGGTTATTATTTTATTGTATAGTTTTAAATGTTTATAACTGTAAATGAATGTTTGTTAGAAATGAAAAATGCTTTCCATGATAGTTTTTCAAGTTGAATAACTGTCTTTTGATGGCATAAACAATTTTAAAAATAAGAGTTTAACTTAGGTTCCTTTAATCAGTTGATAAGGATTGAAAAAGTTTTATTCAACTAATCAAAAACTTTTCATCCACAATTAGATATGTGGCATTTTTATCATGCAATGGTCTGGTGTTCTGGTGCTAAGCTAACAAACATTTCTGCATAATTCATATATATCTATTGTTAAATATTCATTTCACAAGTCTGATATTATTCTTTGTGACTTTGGTCTCTTTCCACTTATAAAGGCACAACTAAGCAATGTTTCTTGATAAATGACAAGCTTATCACAGCATGGGATTAAGCATATCAGGATATATCTTTAGAAGAATTCTAAGATATACAGTCGACCCCCCTATAACACGGTAGATATGTTCCGGTTTTTATGAATCTATTTTCTACGAGTCCAGCCAATCACAGCCCTGCACGTATGCAGTTTACGGACTACGGCTGTTTGAAAGGTTTCTTCCATAAAATGAATCGATTCTAGACTAATTCGACTCAACATTTCCAAAATACGTATAATTTTTTGGGAATAATCCATATAAACTATGCTATAAACAAAAAAAATGTAGGATTACTTACTGAGCGTTCACCGTTCGACTATGCCATTGCTTAAGCTTGTTTTCGTCATGGAGCTTGTCATCGAATGCTGCTCGCATGCTTCCTGATAAATTATTTTTTTTGCAAAAAATTTGCTGAACTTTGGAGACATCATTAATATAAATATAATTTTTATGGACATTAAATAATAAATGGTTTTTAGTAGGTCCACTGCTCGTTTAAACTCAATGGTATGTACAATATCCGCTATTGGTCTAAATTCGACCAATCCTGTCGTGACATGAGTCGGTGATGACGTTTTACTGAATTATATGAGTTTTTAGCATGTTTGTACGAATACTGTCGCAATTTTTTCACCGTGATATAGGAATTTGAACTATAGGAACCTGTGTTATAAGGTGGTCGACTGTATGTGATAAGTAATTTGAACACATGTAATTGTATATAATGCAAAGCAAAATATTTTGAAAATTAAACTTGACAAAATTAAAACTCTCATACATATCAAGAAGAAAGTATTTGGAATCAATGAAATTTTATTAATGCAAACACAATGGCAATGGTAATAAGTGATGACAATATTATAGCAAAATGAGAAGAAACCTTTAGTACTGTGTACGACTTCTTACCTGGACATATGTATTGATAAAGTCAGATATGGAAGTACAGATATTCCAGATTTCTCATACTCATATAACCCATCTAGTCCCACAAGTGCTTGATAGGCAACAAATCTGGAGACCAGACAGGCAAAGGAAATAGGATAATATGACAGATAATTGCTACACTTCCTTGACCAAGCATTATCTTGCTAGAAAATAGCTGTTTTTAACCCTGCCATGAAAGGCAACAAATGAGGATACAGGATTTTCTGAACAAACTGCTGTGCCATCATTGTCTCTTGCACACTACTAGAGATGACCAGCTATCATACAAGATGGCCTCAGACCAGCATGTCAGTTTAAGATCAGTGTGCTGTGCAACAGTAAAGGTGGGATTGAGCACAATCAGTAGTCTTTCACACACTAATATAGTGATTGTTTGTTTCTGAAAAAAATTGGAATTGTTAAAAATGATATGCTGTCAGTCAGCTGTGTAGCAGTTCATATTTCTATTACAGCAATAGCGATATACTAATATACTAATTACATGGGATATAATAATATACTACACTAATAATGGATTTTTTCATACTTTTCGGTTATCCAACTTTTCAATTATCCGACCAACCCCAGTCCCCAATTAGGGCGGATAATCGAGGTTCTACTGTANCTTTCACACACTAATATGGTGAATGTTTGTTTCTGAAAAAAATTGGAATTGTTAAAAATGATATGCTGTCAGTCTGTAGCAGTTCATATTTCTATTACAGCACCACTTCAAACAAAGTGATGATGTGGGAGTGCCAATGGTAGGATTTGTAGTGATAGCTGTGCATACAGATTTCTCTGCTAGTCATCATGCTACAGAAAGAGACAGGGTTCTTTAGATAGACTTCCACCTGTCTCTGGATGGTGGACAAAGATGCCATTGCAGCTGTTTGTGCTTATCATACAACTAGACCTCTCTGGGTACCCAGAGTCTTTTTACTACAATATATGTGGATTTCAATGTTTTACAGGCTTATTTTGCCAATGCCCTGTTCAGATGATTTTTCAAATGTAGTTTGATTGTAGTTTTTAATGCATGTTTATTAGAACATTCATAATTTAAACAAATATGCATTATTTCAAACAGATCAATGAACACTCTGTGAATTTATCTAAAATTATTTTAACATATCTGTGAATATCTTTAAAATATTTTAATTTATCCACAGTAAGTAAATATTGTTTAAAAAAAAATAATAATAATATTTATGTGGAATCCTAATGTGACATATAATTTTTTTTTGGAATGCAACTTAAAAAAACTTTTTGATTGCTAGAATGTTTTTCAAAGTTGTACTGATCATTTTGTTTTTTAACATAAGAAGATTATAACATTGTTCTGTTTATACATCAAGTTTAAAATCATATACCTATATGTGAAAATTGTTTCTTTTATTGAAAATTAATAAAAACTCCTAAATAAGCAACACAAAGAAGTCAAATCAGACTAATTTGCTAAGTTTTTTCATAATTAAGAAAGTGGCCAAAATAACTAACAATTCCAAAACAACAGGACCATTGATTTCAAACCAGAATATCAAAGTTATTGTCAATAATCTTGTTCAAGATACAATAAGATTTTAGAATAGAATAAGGTAAGCAGGAGTAATTTATATGAAGGGGCATACACTTGGCAGTTTTATTGACTATCTGGCAAAATAAAATTGTGAGGAGAACCTTGTGTATCCTCATGTATACCTGTCCCAAGACCTCAATCTAGTCAGAATGGTCAGATACAGGCAGTTTGACAAAACAGCCCATCCTGTTTTCATCAGTATGATGATTCTTCAGCCTTTGTCAAACTCCATTAGTTGTGCATAACGTCTTTGTATCATGTAGACATTCTCGGCATTTGAAGATCTCTAAACAACAGACATATTGAAAATTCTGAACATATTAGCAAGTGTATTAATGGGATACTATGGTAGCAGTTAAAAGGCACTCTAGTGGCATTACCTGGCATGCAAAATTTTTATAGTGACCTATATATATGGATCTTTTTATAATGATATTAAAAATGCATTTTTATTTAATTATGTATTTTTAATATCATTATAAAAATGTATTTTTAATGTATGATATTAAAAATGTATTTTTAATATAATAAAAATTATTTTATTATATTTTAAATTTAGATAGTTTGTGGTTATGCACACACTATGGCATTGTCTGATGAAGGAGTTTTATATGCTTGGGGAGCCAATTCGTATGGTCAATTAGGTACTGGAAGCAAAGCAAATCAAGTCACACCGGTTCGAATAGCTTCTGAAATTGGAAGGTAAATTTATTAATTAAATATAGTTAATAGCCAGGTTTTATTTGAATAACATATTTCATTTATAATTATGTTAAACTCCAAATTTCACTCATATTTTCTGTTTAATATGATAAATATACTAACAGTAATACTTTAATTCTTTAAACATTAGATCGGCTTAATCCATTTGAGATGAAATCAACAGAAGGAAAAATTGTTTGACTAGTTTTGCTTTACAAATTCTCCTTGTATTCTGAGGAGTAAAAACAATTTCATCTCCAGGTACATAGAAAAAAGGAATTTTCAGAGCTTAAAGAGTTAAAATTTGAGTCAAAACTACAATAATTTACAATCTACTTTTAAGTACAATTTTCTTGTTAAGAAATTATTTAATTTGTAAATAAACAAAATAACATATAGCAAAACTTTATGATAAAAGATAATTTTGATGTAGTATATTTTTTAAATACTGGGGTGTAAAGCTAGTTCGCCTCCTTGTGGTGCACCCTGGATAATGTCTGTTCGTGAACTAAATGAGCTAGCAACTTTTGGCATCCAAATAATCCGTAGGATCTCCTGGACNAAATAAAGTTATAAATATTTACATATGAATTGATTTTATGAAGATATAAATTGCATATTTTGCTAATCAATATTAATGAAGTATTAAAGTTATTAAAGATGTTAAATGCACAAATTTAATTTTGATTTTTTCTAAACTTTTGTAATATTAAAATTAAGCAGATTATTTTAGCATATTAAATAAATACTAGATTATCTATTTAATTTAATACTAAATACTACATTATAGAATTATTAGTGGACTATTTAAAACATAACTTTTTAAAAGATTTAAATAATTTAACCAAAGATTCATTTGACTTTCAGAATAGTGGAAATAGCAGCATCTCATTATAATCATATATCGGCAGCCATGAGTCAAACTTCCAAAGTTTTCATGTGGGGACAGTGCCGTGGTCAGTCAATTACAGTTCCAACAGAAACTCCCTTTCATTCTCTTCATGATGTCTTTGCTTGTTTTGCATCTCCAGCTGTCACATGGGTACCTATGAAACTAGGTAAAAATAATTTAATACAGTATTGCTCTGTACATTGATTAAGAGCGTATCAAATTAAAAAATTTTAATTAAAAATTAAATAACATTCATATTTTAATATGTTAAAGAGATATTCATTAATATTTCTTTAATATTTGCAGATATTTCTGATACTAGTAGAGTTAATGATAGTTTACAACAAGCTTTTGATGATCCTGTATGTACTGTACCATTTTAGAAATTTTATTTAGTAATTAAGTAATTTTTTATTATTCTGTTTATTATCTTTCATTGATATTTTTTAAATAAAATATGAAACTAATACACAAATTTGTTTAGGTTACAAGTGATTTAAAGATATGTGTTGAAGGAAAAGTTATTAATGTACATAAATCTATATTAAAAATTAGGTAAGTATTTTTGTATTCTTCTTTTAAAATAATTTCCAGTTTTTAACGTAAAAATTTATTTATTTAATTTTAAGCATTAGCAAAATGCTGAAGTATTTTTAAATTACTTGCAAACAATAATTAAATATAATGCAATTTTTTCAAGTTTGTTTGGTTTATGTTGATTGATTCTATTAGCAAAAATTTGTAAAAATTAAATTTTTTATGTTAAAAGTTTAAATAATATGTGTCTTTGCTCTATTGCTGAAATCCGACCCAATGGACTGTTCTTATTGTCTTTTCAAATTTTTGGCATTTTCCCTTTAAATGAATCCCACTACCATATGATACCAACGTGCTCATAAGACTTTAATCTACACACTGATGCTTTGATCAGCTGTCTATGTTGCCTACAATGCCCTCTAGAGCATGCATTACTTTTGAAAAAACCCTCGTAATAAATTAATAATTATGTTTTTAGTTAAAGTTTCTATTATGGTAGAGTGTCGTTTATCCGAAAGCCGATCAACCAAAACGTCGGTTAACCAAAAGCATTCCCATTGGACTGTGTCATGCTGAATCGAATGTTTTTGATACTAGATTAACTTCTAAAGTATAATTTTTTTTTGTTTTTATATTTTTCAATATATTTATTTTGTTTGTACAAAATAAAGAAATAATTTTTAACAATACAATAGCCACGATTATTATTTTAAAAAATTTACGTTAGGCTTAACATTGACAAAAAGTGCAATGTGAAGCAACATGCAATGGAGAAAAATTTCAACATGGGATAGGTTAATATATTTTTTCATACCTGATCAGTTGTCTGAAAAACAAGTTATTCGAACAACCCCAGTCCCCAATTGATTTGGATAAATGACACTCTACTGTAGTTTATTGCTGTTTAATTACTATGTTATAATCTAAAAACTTTTAATCTAATTTTTCAATCTGAATTTTATTAATACAGAATTAGTTGTATAAAGTATTATGTCATTACAGTAGAGCATCGATTATCCGACCCCAGATTAACCATCCGCATTCTAGTCGGCAAATTCAAATGTCTGCTAGTGATGTGGCGCTACACTATTTGGCTATGTCTTGGCTACTTTAATATTATTTTTACGTGTTTTAGCTGGCAACACTGGATCGACCATGAAGGGGAGCCAGTATTTAAATGAAGCTTAATTTTCTAATTTTTAATGATACAATAGCAACGATTATTATTTTTAAAAAAATTTGATAGGCTTAACATGGAGGAAAATTCAATGCGAAGTAGGTTAATAGCGATATACTAATATACTAATTACATGGGATATAATAATATACTACACTAATAATGGATTTTTTCATACTTTTCGGTTATCCAACTTTTCAATTATCTGACCAACCCCAGTCCCCAAATTGAATCGGATAATCGATGCTCTACTGTACTTAACATTTATGCCATCTGCAATCTTAGCCATTCTCTGCATAGTCTTAAGTATCAAATACATACCTAGCCTTCTTCTTGCATAATGGATACATTTCAAAAAACACCACATAAAACAAAAATTGCCTAAAAAGTACAGTACATGCATCCTGTAGAATGCTTGATAAGATCCAGAACTTCAACGGAACAAAAATAAGCAATTTAGAAAAGAAACACAAGCTTTTTTTTCTAACATCATTTATGATTATTTGTACATAAATATAGTAAACAGAAGGTAGCATAGGAAACAAAATCAGCATATAGTATTGTGTGATGTACTGTACTGTGCTTAATAAAATTTATTGTTTAAAAATTTTTCTCTCCATAAAAGAAAAAGTTTGTAAATTTCATTTCAAACTTGTAATGTGTTTTAGGATTGAGGAAGTATGGCATCAACATAGATTAAATTTTTATTTCTAGGCACAAATTAATTTATTCTTTTTTATATTTTTAAATTAAGTAAATTTAGAGAAAAAAATTAAATTGGAAAGTTCTTTTTGTTTCCTGAGTGAGTTTTTCTCTTGAAGCTTGACAGTATTTTATTGTTATTCCCAAATTCTAAGAATAACTATTTTCAATTCCAAATTTTTGAATCTATATTGCATATCAATAATTGAATATTTTTTACATACGTAATCAAATTATGATGATATTATTACTTTTTCTTGAATTAGTAAATCTTCTATAAAATATATGATTTTTTAATTATATAATTAATAACATTTTTGAACAATAAATTTATTTTATATTTCAAGTATCAAAATAAATTTCTGTTTCTTTTATGTTTTATAAAGGTTTATGGATGGGGTTATAATGGTAATGGACAACTGGGCTTAGGAAATAACGTAAATCAGTCAAATCCATCAAGAGTGGCTAATCTTCAAGGAGTTGTAATTCAAAAAGTATTTACTNCTTCACTTCAAAATTCCGATGGATGATGCTTAATTTGTCTAATAATTAAAATCGCTATCAAAAATTTAACTTTACACTAAAATAATTGTATAAAATAATATTATAGAACTATTTTAGTGTAAAGTTAAATTTATTTGGAAAGATTGAGCAAAATGTATAGAATATAATTGAAGCCTGAACTAATAGCCGGACATAAATGATAACACTTGTAAACAGCCAAATTTTATCTGAGAAAATATTAACAAATTCTGACAATTTTAGGTATGCTGAACCTGAATTTGTTATTAAAATCATTAGTCAGTTCAAGTTTTAATTTCTTTGTCAAATGGGCACTTTAGAATCATAAGGTGAAAATTTTCTCAATTTTTGTTATAAATTTTTTCTTTTTATCATCATTATTAGTTATTTTACAAGTAAATTTAATGCAAGATCAATATGAGAAAACAATCTTGCCCAAAAAAATTTTGACTATCATCAAATATAAAAAAATTAGTGCATCAGAAGCCTTTATAATGAATGTATAAAATTCTCATCAGAGATGTTTCAGAAGTTCAATACATGCAACAAATTGAAAGACAGTACATTTAATCTATGCAATCAGTTATATTTTGCATTACATTTACAATTATCTTGGAGACTGTAAGTAATCATTAAATTTCATTGTTAGCTTCACATTCAGCACCCAAAAATTGATAAAGAAATGCATTACACGTAAAGGATACACAACTTAAGTAATACTTTGTTGTCCAGTGTAACTTGAAAATAATCTGGACCATAACCAGCACATATTAAAATCGATATAGAAAAGTAAATGGATCTTTGTCATAATTATAGCTTAGAGTTTAGGTCACCATCCATTAGGTTTCTAAAATGTAAATAAATATATTGTAAGTGAATGAAAATATAGAATAATTTTAAAATTATGGTATCATTTTTGGTCTATAATTTAATTATTGACCTATACATTCTTGCTATTGTCCATCCATCCATCCTTCGTTAATGTCAAGAACAGATTTAGATAGATGAAAATTAAAACCAGATATGGAAAGTATATTTTTAAATTAAAATATGATTTAAAATTTCAGTTCAGCACTGTGAAAATGTCACAGCAAGTAATTGCTTATTTGCCATGCAATAAATGCATATATAATTTAATTGATACATGACAATAATGATATACAATAATATCAAAAATACATATATACAGTATCTGATACTTATAATAGAAAATTACACATTGTATAAAATTAGAAGAATTATTTATTAGATAGTTGAACATATTCTATAATTTTGAATTTTTATATATTAATTGACAACTTTATTTGATATATAAATGTTTTATGAATTTACAAAGTTTATTTTTTGTATTTATCAGAACAGTAGATATTTCTCAATTTACTTATCCAGTTTATCGTGCATTTCTACAATATTTATATACGGATGATGTTGATCTGTCTCCTGAGGATGCTATAGGTAAATACTTACTCAACTTTTTTTTTTTTTTATATAGTTTTACTAAGTTATTTATATTGCTTTTCTTCAAGTATAGCTATTCTTTAAAAGTAAAAGATAATTTATTGAGAACTACAGGCATATAAATCTTAAATTACAAAAAGTAAATTTATTACTTCACAAATACATTTCAAATTTTCAAAAACTTGGGAATAAACTTTATTAATTAAACTATCACAGAATTATTTTTAATGCAATGTTTTTTATAGTTTTTATTTTAAATATAACATATATCTATTAAAAAGCTTCTTGCCTGTATTATTTAATTACAAAAACTACTTATTGACTTATTCTGAAACCGTGTCTTCTTTTAATTATTCTTTACTTCACAACTGGGTGCATTGGTAGACACTGGACATCTTTAACATCATTCTTTATTCAGGAATAAAGAGTGATGTTAAAGATGCTCAGTGTCTACCTATACACCCAGTTGTGAAGTAAAGGATAAAAACTACTTAGTTACATATGACTAATGAACAGGCTTATTACAAACCCAGCCTGTTTAATTAACTTGTCCCAAAATGCATTTTGGCCTTACTGGCACTTATTAATTGAGTGACATACAAACCNCTACTATAATATTATTACTGTCTTAAAATCATATAGCATTTTCACTATACTATTGTTTATTTGTATCAGTAAAATTATCATGCAACATCATATTTATATTAAGGTTTTGATTGGATACAGCAATGTAACATGCATACAATCTGCTAAAGGATCATACCACCCAGGAGGACTTTATACTGGAAACTGGCCCTATATATTTATTAGACACATGAAGAAAACCTGAAAACTCCACATAGAGGGAATGTATTGTTGAGAGGCAAACCCACAACCAACTATCATTGTTCAATGGTTTATTCACACAACTACTGATGGGCTGTTTACATTAAGGATGATGATAAACATGTGTATTCATTAATTTTATGCTATCCACAAATTCATAGTATGTAATCTGTTTGATATCATATTCAAAGAAATCATAACATAGATGTTTGTATTGTAATCTTTATTTTTCTTATGATCATAAATTTACAGTACTTAAAGTACACATAGTCTGAAGAGGGCAATAAAACTGAAACATGTCACTGCTTCTAGTTTAAAAGTTGAATAAAAAGGAGGGGAAAAAATGAGTTTCAACTTTTTGGATTTGATATCAATGAGTTATACTCTTCATATTCATGGATAATATAAAATTAATGAATACTTACAATGTGTGTAAATCAAAATAATTAAAGCTATATATTGTATTTCATAATGACTTATCATAAGCTTTTTAGAAACATTGTTGAAACAAACAACATTCTTTGTTTTTGTAACTAATTTATCTTAATAATAAGCACTAAGCAAACTTTTAATAATAAGTTGATATCAAGTAGGAGTAACAAATCATATTATTAAATGTTATAACATTTCATCACAATATAATTGTTTCTATTTTGTACTAAATAAATAATGTGAAATAATTTTCTCAAAGTATTTCAGCTTTATCACAGTAAAAAGAAAATAATTTGATAAATTTAAAATTTAAAAATCATAATTCCATAATTATTTTTAACTAATTTATATCATTATCATTTAAATTTACAGCTGTTAAGTAATAAATGTCTTCAAAAACATTTTTAAAAGCAGAATATAAATATAGGAATTATATTTAATAATATTAAAACGATGATTATCATTATAAATAAATTATCATCTGGCAATAAGGAATTCATGAAATTGAGTAAATATAATTCAAATTAAGTGAACTTCATTAAACATGAGTAAATGTGATTTTTTACAATCAACTATTAAATTAATAGTAAGATTATTTGAAAAGTTTATAATAAGGAAGTTATTTTGTAATCTATTCAGTAATATATAATGGTAATTCTGGAATAAAGAGAAAAATATATTTTAAAATAATTTATTAAAAAGTAAAAACATAATTAAATTTTATTTGAAATATATTATTAAACAGGAAATTATGTTAAGAATTTCATCAAAGAGAGANAAAATTCCGATGCCGATGGCCAAGGCTAACACCAAATTCGTACTGCATTGAATAGACAAGTGACTAGTATAATGTTATTTATTTAACTATTGTATGATATAACAAATAAAATATCTAATTATTCTTAATATAATGTTTTACTATATCGCCCATAAAATTGTTTTTGCCCCCAAAATATAAACTGTTACTAATCGCCCCCTCAACATGGAAAAACACCCACATCTAAAACAGTGTTTCTCAACGGGGGTGATATCGCCCCCGTTGAGAAACACTGTTTTAGATCCATCTAAAAATTCTGTAATTAGTCTAGAAACAGAGGGACCTAATTCTTGCATTCTTTGAAAACGGGTAAGATTGACTATAACGTAATAATCTTAATCTTCATTATCGTTACTTTTTGCCCGAGCAACACCGGGCCTATCTGCTAGTTAAAATATAAAATATGTAAAATACTGAATCAGAAAGGAAAAAATAATAATAATTACATTAGATGCTAAATTTAATGGATTCTGAATTTGATGAACAAAAAATTCTGTCCTGAAGAAAACTTTAAGAAAAAATTAAAATGAAAATAAACAATGGAAACAGCGTGTATAAATTATTTAATGCACATTATAATAATAATTTATTTATACTTATACATTATAACAACATTGTAATATATTGTACATACTTATTTTAAGTTTATTATTAGTATGTTTTCAAAATACATTTAACAGATTCTCCTTTTCAAAATTAGTTCATTAATTCTTTAAACTTTGAAAATTTCTTTTTCTTTTGTTCCTGGATATGAAATTATTTTTATCCCTCAGGCTAGTCTTTAATGGTGGGGAATTGTTTCAGTCTTCTTCCTAAGAGTGGAAGAGTTCAAATTTTATTTAGATGAGAGAATGGCATAAGGAAGAATCATGATTGTCTTGCTGCTATTATTTGTGCAGTTGTTTAAATTTAAATTTTAACATGAAAAAGTACATTAAGAAATTAAGTACATACATTAAAATATATTTAAAAATAAGTATAAAACAGTTATAAAGATGTTTAAAAAGACAAAAATTTAATATTATAAAATCTAATGTATATTAAAGTTACATACACAAAACTAGTAAAACATTTGATAACATTTACTCTTATTCCTTAAACAAAAATGAATTCCGCTGTGTACGAAGGAAATAATCAAAATGAAACTAATTTGTAAAGCAAAAACAATCAAACAACTTTGCCTTTGGCCAGTTTTGTGTTGAACAGGTTAAGGTAGTTTTGACTAATCTCATGTTTAAAGTGTTAAATCAAAGACCTATTTTTAATAAGCCCTCAATTAGTAATAAAAATTTTAAAATATGAATGGATTAATAACAAAATACTTATAAAATTAATGATATAAAACATAAAAACTTAGAATAAATAGTATATTATAATACATCAAGAAATGCCATAACTGTATTTGTTGATTAAAACTTATAGTCTTATTACTTTAACTCTTACTGATTGTGATTTCTTGTTTTCTGTTGATCTAATTTATAGTTTATTTGGATGATATGTAGCACATAATTCTTCAGAACAATTTTAATACTTTTTTCATGTTTTCTCATAATTGTTATGTGAAGTTTAGCTAAAAGATGGCTGTAGGACTGAAACTACTTTCAAATAATAATATAGGTAATGTTTATTTGTTATACAAAAATGAAAATCTCAACATTGAGTGCTAGAAAAAGAGCACATACAGTTCAGTATAATGTAATAGCTGGGAGAATAGAAAAGCTTTTTCATTTACCTCTGTATGTAGTACAGACTGCAATACAACATAAAAGGAGTTAATAATATAATAATACAATGGATTCTCGATTTATCATTCCCACATCTATCAGTTGTTTTCTCCAGTCCTAAATAAGGATGCATATATATAATGTTAATTTTTTTGTATTTTTCATTCCTGCATCATTTGTTTCATATTTTAATTGAAAGAAAAATGCTATCCCATCAATCATTTTACTTGCAATAGAGGGTACTAAATTGTGAAACACTGATTTTCATGTACTAAAAATAAAAACATGTCAAATTTAACAGTTAAATCTTTGACTACAGCTAACCAGTTTTTATTGTAAGTTCTGAGTATACTGTTTGTTTACTACTTTACAAAATACTGTACTTTATTGGTGACATTGTTACTTACAGCCTGGTAACACTGGTAAAAATTAATACATTGTCTTGAGGTAGAGGAGATCATGCCTGGACAAGTGAGAAAAGTCAGAATCTTTGTTGAAAAATTGAAAATTATAGAGGAAGTAGAAGGAAATCTGTCAGAAAAAAGGATTAATAGAGAAAATAGAACAAATTTCAACAATTTTAAAATGTAGAACAAATGAATGTCTGTACATGCTCCATATTGTTTAGTATTATAGAAAGCCATCATACAAGCATATAAGCCTATCACTGGAAAATATACATTCCATATGAAATAAATGATAAAAACATTGATGTCATAAATTTCTTGTGTCAATTGTTTTCCCACATTAGTCGTTTTTTTCCCCAAGTCTTGCCAAAAAACGATAGATCAAGAATTCACTGTACTTTATTGATGACTATATCAATAACACTATAGGAAATAAATATGGTATAAAACAAGCAGATGATAATGCTATATCATACAGTTGGTCTTTGATATGTAGACATAATATGTTTGTTTACCTTGGCAAAAAATTATACATACACATGTACTTTTCTAATACTTTACATAAATGTAAGCAAATTTCCATTTTCACAATAATTTGGATAATAGATTTTATTGTATATGTTTTTGGTCAATTCTTAACTTACATTTTGGTGATATATATTTGTTCTTGTCTACCAGATTTAAAGTTTATCAGTTTTATACTATGCTCAGATGCACAACAAGTCTTACTATAGTACAATTATCATCAGAACAATGTAAAAGTTTATATGAAAAAGTTATAAAAGCTTTTACATAAAGTAAATAAGTTACAGTTTTAATTTCAAGTATTTTATAATATAATGAAATACTAGCATCATAACGTTGATTCAATAATATTTGAATGAGTATAACATTATTTACTGCATAAAATTGAAATGATAAATATAATTAGATGATTCAAACAATAAATATTACAAATGATTTAGTTTTCATAGCTTGCAATCCAGTCAGTGCAGTCATGTATGTTCAGTTTCATTAAAAACTAACAATACCATGTAAAATTAATACAGTGTAAAATTAATACCACGTAAAATTAAACGTGGTTTTTGAAAAATTAATACAGCAAAATCAAAATGAATGATATGAATATTATAGCATACCTAATTTATATATAAAATATTTTAATTTTATTGATTTTTATTTTTAGAATTGGTAGTGTATTAAATTATTAGTAAAAAAAATAATTCTACTCTTATATAAATTAATTTATGAAATATTGTTATTTTAACTCAAATATAAATATTATTTGAAAAAATTATCTAAAATAACTTAACAGAGATGGCTTATTTCTTGGTGTTTTTTATATATATTGGTGTTATGAATGACATGATTTAACATGATATTATTGAAGAAGCAAAACAAAATTTTAAATTAATAATAACTTTTAATTAAGTTAAGAGTCTTTAATCAGATATAAATAACAATAAAATAAGGGGTAAAATAACATTTTCTATTTGTTTAAAAAATTTACTCTTTAATATGTAGGACTGTTGGATCTTGCAAATTCATATTGCGAAACACAATTAAAAAGACATTGTGAAAGAATAATCAGATATGGAATATCCATAGAAAATGTTGCCATGTTATATGCTGCTGCAATCAAATATGAAGCAAAGGTAATTTTTAAAATGAAATTTATTATGAATATTTATAAAATTAAAATTATTCTTTAATTAAGAAATTAATTTGATAATACAGTAGAATTTGTTTATTGTAATCACAAATATTGTTATCAGCTGTCTAATATTATCAGAATTAATCTGTCCCAAAACATACAAGTTAAAATATACTTATAAATCTTTGTTTATTAGAGTTTCAGTTATAGTTATCATTATCATCAGATAAATAGGCATTTTCGTATCATTTTTTCTTGCTATCAGCCTCAACATGTGGCTGATAACAGACAATTGTTATTAATGTTAATTAGAGCCAGCCTGAGTTATAGGTGCACTAGGCAATCAACTAGCATTCAACTAGGAGCACAACAGCCAGCATCAGTTAAAATAAAAGGCAACTAGGGTGCCTTTTAACAGATGTTAGCTGTGGTGCCAAAAATCTGTCTAGGGGATCAAAAATACTGTTTTAAACATTACTCATTTAATCATTATTTGCTCATAGTACAGTAGTTTACTGGCATTTCTTATTCCAATTATATGCTAGCTTTGTTAAAGACAGTTTGCAAAAAACAGAAGGTAAACAGCAGTGTATGAATTACAATTAATTAATTAGTCTTCAAGTTTTATATATTTTTATAATTGTTTTGATTTGATGTGTTCTTTTAATCAATAAAGATGATATCTTTAAATCAGAATTTCCATTGGTCTTATTTACTTATTCCACTTAATATTATCAATTGTTTATAGTTAGGTTAGTTGTTAGTAGTTAGTCGTTTATATCGTTATCAGTATAGGAAGTCCCAAGTGATTCTAATAAGCAGATTCTACTGTAATAGTTATATGTAATTTGGAGATTTTGTTTCTAGATTTTTTACTTTTAGATACTGTACACTTCTTTATGTTTATATATGCTTACATATCATTTACACAATGTGAGATTTTAATAATTAATAAATATAAAACTATAAAAGCAAATTTTCAACATTTTAGAAATTGTAACTTTATGCAATATGCAAATATGTTGCATATGAAAAAACACTTAAAAAATTTATAAAATTATTATTATTATTGTGTTAAATAAATAAACGTTTTTGAGGAATCTCCAATATGAATTGACAATGTTTTTTACATAATTGTTTAATGTTAAATCTATTTTTAAAATTTCAAATTAAGATAGATCATTAGAAAATGTTGAAATAGCGAAACTAATATTTGTATATGTCTTACCCAAACTTCTTTTATACGTTGTTAAAATCTAGACTGAAGAGAATTATATCTCAAAATGCTAAATCTGAAGATTTATAACAAAGTGGGACTAGTAAAAAATAGGTATTCTTTTTTAGATATGATAGCATTATATAATATATAGTTTATTGTAAACAGTTTTAAGTTTCAAAATTTATTACTGGAAAAAATGTCTTCTTCATTATTTATGATCTCGCTTTTCTGAGAATATGCAAGTGATTAATTTATAATAATAATTATAATTGATTAATAATAATATGAAAATTGTTTTAGTAATATTAGATAATTATTCCATTATATTCTTGTAATAACATTTATTTATTACTGCACTTTAAAACTGGAAATGAAATTCATTGCAGTTTAAAAATAAACATATTCATAACCTTCAATTAAATATTGTATAGAGAGTTTGAGGATAGAATTTATTTTTATATATATATTATTAAATTTGCATATAATTTTTTATAGGTGTTAATTAGAGAATTATACATATATAATATGATGATGATAAGCAAAATATAATAATTACGATATTTTTATTTTTATTTTTAACTTTGCTTAATCAACTATTTTTACTATGAGAAAATTATTTTATTTTTATTTTTTTGTTTAGTATAAAAACTGGAAGGATTTCATAAACCCTTCATTGTAATAGATTCATAGATCAAAAATATACTACTATAATATTATTACTGTCTTAAAATCATATAGCATTTTCACTATACTATTGTTTATTTGTATCAGTAAAATTATCATGCAACATCATATTTATATTAAGGTTTTGATTGGATACAGCAATGTAACATGCATACAATCTGCTAAAGGATCATACCACCCAGGAGGACTTTATACTGGAAACTGGCCCTATATATTTATTAGACACATGAAGAAAACCTGAAAACTCCACATAGAGGGAATGTATTGTTGAGAGGCAAACCCACAACCAACTATCATTGTTCAATGGTTTATTCACACAACTACTGATGGGCTGTTTACATTAAGGATGATGATAAACATGTGTATTCATTAATTTTATGCTATCCACAAATTCATAGTATGTAATCTGTTTGATATCATATTCAAAGAAATCATAACATAGATGTTTGTATTGTAATCTTTATTTTTCTTATGATCATAAATTTACAGTACTTAAAGTACACATAGTCTGAAGAGGGCAATAAAACTGAAACATGTCACTGCTTCTAGTTTAAAAGTTGAATAAAAAGGAGGGGAAAAAATGAGTTTCAACTTTTTGGATTTGATATCAATGAGTTATACTCTTCATATTCATGGATAATATAAAATTAATGAATACTTACAATGTGTGTAAATCAAAATAATTAAAGCTATATATTGTATTTCATAATGACTTATCATAAGCTTTTTAGAAACATTGTTGAAACAAACAACATTCTTTGTTTTTGTAACTAATTTATCTTAATAATAAGCACTAAGCAAACTTTTAATAATAAGTTGATATCAAGTAGAAGTAACAAATCATATTATTAAATGTTATAACATTTCATCACAATATAATTGTTTCTATTTTGTACTAAATAAATAATGTGAAATAATTTTCTCAAAGTATTTCAGCTTTATCACAGTAAAAAGAAAATAATTTGATAAATTTAAAATTTAAAAATCATAATTCCATAATTATTTTTAACTAATTTATATCATTATCATTTAAATTTACAGCTGTTAAGTAATAAATGTCTTCAAAAACATTTTTAAAAGCAGAATATAAATATAGGAATTATATTTAATAATATTAAAACGATGATTATCATTATAAATAAATTATCATCTGGCAATAAGGAATTCATGAAATTGAGTAAATATAATTCAAATTAAGTGAACTTCATTAAACATGAGTAAATGTGATTTTTTACAATCAACTATTAAATTAATAGTAAGATTATTTGAAAAGTTTATAATAAGGAAGTTATTTTGTAATCTATTCAGTAATATATAATGGTAATTCTGGAATAAAGAGAAAAATATATTTTAAAATAATAGACAGTATATTTGCAATAAAACATAGGCACTTATATTTATTTTCATTATATTTACAATAGGCAAAATTTTATCAACTTTATAAATAACTTCAAAACTACACAATCTCAACATTATCATTAAAGGAATGAGGATACAAAAGTTTAAAATCCTTATTTCTACTTTATACACTTTCTGCTCTTTGTTGTAATTATTTCTTTAGATAAAATTCTTCATAAAATATGAAAAATTGATATATAGAGATTACACAAAACAATGTGTAATAAAATTTTAAAATTCAAGAAAATATATAGTTTAAAAAATGCAGAAAGTAATACATATATATCAAATTAACAATTATATTGACTATATAATAGTAAATTGTTAACTGATAATCTTTTACATAATAATGTACTTGAAGTGACTATTTGGAAGAATACTGTCCTATGTGAACACTAAGATTCATTATTTTGCAATGTTGAAAATCTATATTAACAGAATTATTGAAAAAAAATATGATTATCATTTACAGAATACTGTCTGAAGATCATTAATGCTTATTGTGATTAAGTTTTTGCTAGTTATTTGATTTTTATAGATTACTATCATTTTCTATAAATAATCTAATGATTCTATTGAATATGGTGACATTTTTCTTCTGGTGGCTATTTTTGGGATTGTTTTTTTTTTAGCTTAATTTACTTCTATTATTATTTTTATAAAATTCTTTAAAACTCTTCTGATAAATAATTCTAAAAGATTTATAAATTAATAATAATTTAAATATTTAAATTACAAGTATGTCTACTGCTATTTATGTATGTAATTATGAAGTTATGTTAAGAGAGAAAATATAATGACATATCTACATTGAAACTTTAATGTTAATATCTCTTGATTGCCTACTTAATATCAATGCTTTTAGAAATACAAACCCAAAAAGTATAATATTGATAATAGTTTTAAAGATAGATCATCACATTTAAAATATCTCATTATTTATTAAATTAAATACTATTTTAATTTTTTATATATTTATTATTACAAAAAAAATTAATTCTGATGATAATTTCTTAACAGGAATTGGAAGAATTTTGCTTCAGATTTGCTCTCAATCACTTAACAGCCGTAGCGCAGACGGAAGCTTTTAATAAATTGGACGAAACAATAGTAAAAAATTTTATTTGCAAAGCTGCACAACACGGTGCTTTTAAATATTAACTAGGGATTTTATATAGGAAATAAAAAAATGTTTAATTCTCTACAGTAGATGGTAATTTGTTGGTTATGCAATAAATCAAATAAACATTAGAATAGTTGTTTATAATATATTAAAAATGTGGTCATACTTGGAAAGAGATATCACCCGCTGTTGATATAATTGAAGTAACTGTTAACCTGTGACAGTATTAACAATATCACTTTTATAAATGTTTGAATTTAACTATCGATTAGCAATATTTTTAAGTTGTACTTATGTTTTCCATTAGTAAATCTAGTCATCAGTATTAATTAAAAGAAGAAAAAGGAATAAAAATCCATACAGTATTTTATATTGATCTGGAAAGTTCAATTAATATTATAAAAGGAACTTGTTTCGGTGACAAACTTTCTCAACAGTCAGATAATAGTAAATCTGAGATGTCATATTGGTATATATTTTTATCAGAGATTTAAATATTGTATACTGAATAAGCTGGACTTATTATGATTTCTAGAGAAAGTGCAATTTATGTTTTTTAAATGTAAGAATGTAAATGTTGTCATTACATGGTGAAGGAAAAGAAACATTTCTTTTTTAATTTTTGTACTTAATATTTCAATTTTTAATACATATCCAATGTAAAAATATGAACTTCATTTTAGATATATTCATATATTTATGTTCCTATGATGTTTACAATTATTTTACATCTTAGAATATTGAAACAATTGTTTTGTTATGAGTTTGTAGAAATCGATCTCTTGTTCACTGTTTTCTGGATTAACAGACAATCGTATAAACATTACACCTTGTTATGCTTTTTTTCTATAGGCAATAGAATATAGAGAAGTAATAAAATATATAAAATAGAGGAAAATGAAAAGAGACAATCTATTGAAATAATGAAGTTTATTATATGTATATGTGAAAATATTTTTTAAAAAATGAAAATTTTTTACAATAATGCAAAAGAATTTTAATTCATAAAATAAGAGAAAATTTTTCAAAACTTATCTAAATCAATATTAATTTTTCAATAATTTAAGTATATTTGCTAGTATATAAGGTGAAGACTTTTGATAGATTTATAATTCTAAAAATATGGATTATCTTGTATAGCATCTAAATTAATATTCAGTTTTACACCCAATATTCAATTTTTCAACACAAGAAACAAAGTTAACATTTATTTTGCTAATTATATTATCTAATCTTCAATTTAAATGAGAATTTCTAAATTAGTATTCAAAAATGCACAGTACATTTTCATAATATAATTTTTTTATTCAGTTTCATTTTATTCTATGTAAGAGGATATCAGATGCTTCAATTACTGTGATATTTCATGTTCTTGTTTTATTATACTAATAAATATCACTGAATTTCTTGAGACATTAACATTAACATTACCATTACCATTTTAAACAAATAATAATCTTAAAAAACAAAAATTTATTTATTATAATTTTTTAAAGACTAGTATATTGCTAATTTATATCTTCAGGAACACTTGCAAAGTTTAATATAACAGAATTATCGAATTGTTCTAAAAGGGAAATTAACAATTTTCTGAGACGAATATGTAAATCAATTGTAAACCAATAATTATCAAATTATACTTTTCCAGTTTGTTCAAATCAATATCTTAATTATTTATTTAACTTTCCCATTTAGATTTTTTTATATCATTGATAATGAATAAAATTCTGATTATATATGTTTATCTTTAATTGTTTATATGTTTGTTAGTAGGTTGCTTAGACTCTTAAAATTCTCAAATTTCTTATAAAATTAAAGCATACTAACTTTAAAGATCAGTAATATTAACTTATACATAAATCAATTTATATATAAGCCATCAGTTTACTTACGAACATGGATTATAGTCATTAATATACTTTACACCTTAAGTTATTACCAATTTGGAATTTCTCATTTAAAACAAGCAAAATAATAACATTTTTCCAGTCATCTGTAAATTATAGTTTACTTTTCAAGAGAATAAAATTATATTTTTCTTCTGTAATAAGCAGCAAAATCCATTTCATTTAAATATTATATTTTATATATTGGCAAATAANCCAAAACATACAAGTTAAAATATACTTATAAATCTTTGTTTATTAGAGTTTCAGTTATAGTTATCATTATCATCAGATAAATAGGCATTTTCGTATCATTTTTTCTTGCTATCAGCCTCAACATGTGGCTGATAACAGACAATTGTTATTAATGTTAATTAGAGCCAGCCTGAGTTATAGGTGCACTAGGCAATCAACTAGCATTCAACTAGGAGCACAACAGCCAGCATCAGTTAAAATAAAAGGCAACTAGGGTGCCTTTTAACAGATGTTAGCTGTGGTGCCAAAAATCTGTCTAGGGGATCAAAAATACTGTTTTAAACATTACTCATTTAATCATTATTTGCTCATAGTACAGTAGTTTACTGGCATTTCTTATTCCAATTATATGCTAGCTTTGTTAAAGACAGTTTGCAAAAAACAGAAGGTAAACAGCAGTGTATGAATTACAATTAATTAATTAGTCTTCAAGTTTTATATATTTTTATAATTGTTTTGATTTGATGTGTTCTTTTAATCAATAAAGATGATATCTTTAAATCAGAATTTCCATTGGTCTTATTTACTTATTCCACTTAATATTATCAATTGTTTATAGTTAGGTTAGTTGTTAGTAGTTAGTCGTTTATATCGTTATCAGTATAGGAAGTCCCAAGTGATTCTAATAAGCAGATTCTACTGTAATAGTTATATGTAATTTGGAGATTTTGTTTCTAGATTTTTTACTTTTAGATACTGTACACTTCTTTATGTTTATATATGCTTACATATCATTTACACAATGTGAGATTTTAATAATTAATAAATATAAAACTATAAAAGCAAATTTTCAACATTTTAGAAATTGTAACTTTATGCAATATGCAAATATGTTGCATATGAAAAAACACTTAAAAAATTTATAAAATTATTATTATTATTGTGTTAAATAAATAAACGTTTTTGAGGAATCTCCAATATGAATTGACAATGTTTTTTACATAATTGTTTAATGTTAAATCTATTTTTAAAATTTCAAATTAAGATAGATCATTAGAAAATGTTGAAATAGCGAAACTAATATTTGTATATGTCTTACCCAAACTTCTTTTATACGTTGTTAAAATCTAGACTGAAGAGAATTATATCTCAAAATGCTAAATCTGAAGATTTATAACAAAGTGGGACTAGTAAAAAATAGGTATTCTTTTTTAGATATGATAGCATTATATAATATATAGTTTATTGTAAACAGTTTTAAGTTTCAAAATTTATTACTGGAAAAAATGTCTTCTTCATTATTTATGATCTCGCTTTTAATTTTTAATAATTTAAATAAAAATCATTTGAATGACAATTCAAGAATCAAGAATATTTTTGATTCTTTAAGGTTTGTATATAAATAAATTAGCTAAATAAAATGTTGCACGTATTGAATAGAAGCGTTATTATTCTTTTACAAGGCAGTTTTAAAAGGCCAGAAATAAATAATTTTTCTAATTTAACAGAGAAGAATTGTATGAAATTTTGTATTCTTGGAAGAAAAGGAATTTAGGAAAAAGAAGAAGAAGCATTCCATTCTGATAATCCTAACAAATTTAACGAGCAAAAAGGAAAAAAACGAAGAAAAGAATTTAAATATAGAATGAAACACAATCATTATGAATTCCAGATGAGTTTTGCGCAAAACTAATCGATTTAATAAATTATTTCATCATTTGAAGATTTCTTTTTTACGGTCAGATTATTTTATTCTGTTAAATTTTTAAATTAAATCGATAAATATACTTTATGCCAACATAAACGTATAAACGAGTTTTCTCTTCCCCCTTTCTCTCTCTCTCTCTCTCTCTCTCGTGTATAACTTTTTAAACCGAGTAAACAATTTCTTTTCTTTCCCTACAAATAGCTTAGAGGAATTTTTATTCTGTATTATGCATTACTTAATTTTCTTAACTTGGATTTTATTTTATAACATTTGTGAGATTACACACAACTTTAATCGTTATATTGTGTGTAACTTTAAAAAGATTAAAGAAAAAGAAGATAATTTCTCTATTTATTTGACGTTTGATGACATTGTCTTTAATATTTTAAGTCGTTAAATTTACAACACGACTAAATTTCTAATTGCTTATTTATGTAAATCTCTCTGATTTGAAGACAGGTATTATTAAAGAAGAAAGTAAACTCTCTCTCTTTCTCTCCTTTCCTTGTTGAGTTAAAAGTATAAATACAGCATTAATTCGACTTTTATAAAAGACTTTTTTAAGAAGAAATTGGAGAATAATTTGGCTGCAATTCGAAAAAAAATTGTAGACATAAATTTCCACTGTCTGTCCTTCCGTAATCTCGAGAATGGTGTTAGATAAATGAAAGTCGAGGCCAGATATGGAAAGATTAGGGGCATGAGGCCCAGATTAACAATATATGAAATTTTGGTATAGATCGGAAGTCGTGATATCGATTCAAAAATGTTCACAAGGGAGTTAGGTAATCGGCATGACACTGTTGTTATCAGGAAAAGTGTGATGTACAGGGGCAAGCCACTAATTTGAGGTGGAGAGCTTATATTTTAAATTAATATTTATAGATTTTTATTTAAAAATGCAGCAAAGAATACCTAAATTTAAAAGACATCCCACACTTTAAAAATTTTTTTTGTTGGGAAAAGCTCGCACCCTTTTAAGTTGACTTTTTATACACAGATTAATAGGGTAAATATATTTTAAAATAATTTATTAAAAAGTAAAAACATAATTAAATTTTATTTGAAATATATTATTAAACAGGAAATTATGTTAAGAATTTCAAAGAGAGAGAGAGAGAACCCCAAACTTTCCCAGAGCGTTAACGTTAAGACATCAGCCTACCTCTTTGGAGGATAGGGGGACATTAATGTGTAATGGGCCCACGTGCCTGACCCAACGCGGAATTTTCCGGGCTTTCATCACATATCTAGCACCTGAATAGGGGCCAGTTTCTCATAGAAAGTCCACCCGGTAAGCATTCCCCTCCGCAGATTTCTCACGTGTTGCGTTGCCTTACCCCATCAATTCTGGGGAAACCAGAAAACTCCACGAGTTTTTTGGGGGGATAGAACGTCCGGCATGTGTCAGGACCCGCCTCTCACCACCCGCTCCATTTTGGGCCTGGCCGAACCTACGATGGGCCCTATAAAAGGCCCTATTAGTACTCATTAATAGAGTCTTTTTTGTCAGGGTAGAAAGAGCTTTAAATTTGACTTTTTTTATTATTACAGTATTATTAAATTAATAAAAATGTTTAATTGTAAAAATTAACATTTCTAATAAATTTCGATTTATTTTTAGATCATCGAAAAACAAAATTATTAAAAATTCTGAAGTGATTGGAAGATTTCCAATTTTATAATTTAAAGTATTAGAGAAGAGAAAATGTTTTTTTTTTTTGGAAAATTCGAAATTACAGCACGAGAATTTTTGAGTGTAAAGGTTATCCAAAGGTCACTACAATTAGTTAAATTAAAAAGAAGAAAATTGCATTTAAAAAATAAGAAAAGGTAGATTAGTTATAAAATTTAATTAATTTTACTAAGAATTGAACTTCCATGCTATTAAATATTCATTTAGTAAAATTAGTAGACAATATTATAATGTACAGTTCATTCAATTTGTATAATATAATTTATATATATATATATATATTANCATATTTTACCAATTAATTCCTCCATGTAATTCCTCTATTTAGCATTTTTTTAAATTTTTTTAATCATTAAAAAGCTGCTTTTCCCCTATTTATGCGATGATTAGAGTGAATGAGTTTAAATGTTCAAAGTTTAAGAGTTAATCTAGGTGAATAGATGCTAAAAATATATTATTTATTTAATAAATGTTTGTTTAATTTCTTTTTCGATATTCATTGTACGAAATAATAACGGATTCTTTGCCTTTCCCGATTTTGATATCGGATATGGCTCGATATTTGCCTTTGAAATATCGGAAAAATACATGCTCTGTACGATTCGATGAGTTTTATATAGGTTATTTTTGTCGTATTTTGTACGCTCGATAAACGTAAGATGTACGAAGTGAAATATGTAAAAACAAGAATGTTTTTTTAGTCCCTACCTGGCTCTACCATCCAGCACAAGAAGCCCAAACTAAATGGCTTTCTGACCTGAATTTGGCCATTTTGGCCAGCAGGGTCCAATAAATTTGGCCGTTTTGGCGAACAGGGTCCAGGGGATGCCAGGTAATTGCCCTATTTGTTCATAGGATAACGCACCACTGGCAGGGTCCGGTTTAAATAACCAAACATGAGGCTCTACCGTATGCAAGATCTCACACTTGAGGGCCTCATATTTGCGGAGTTTCAAAAATATTTGTACAAATTGTCTCGTATATTAAGAAAAAAATGGCATTTTTTAAAAAAGTCGGCATCAGAAAAACAATTAATTCGAGCTTCAATTGACTTCTTGAAAGGTTCTACCTCTTCTACTATGAAACCCAGCTTATCATTTTATGTAATAAAATGTAAATATAATTTTATATAAATTACAGTCGAACCTGTAATAAAGGCCACTATTTCATGAACTGACTTTTAAACAAATAATCCCTACAAAATCATTTCCAGACAACCTCTACCAAACGACAGCCACATTTTATGTTCCCATCGGTGTCCGTCATTCGCAGGTTCGACTGTATGATGATGTATGTATGATGATAAAGCCACCTCCCAACAACGACCATTTTTTCAGGAACTTTCGAACAGAAAATGAGTACAAATTAATTTCCAAAAAAACCTCCACATTTTGTCTGTCGGTGTCCGTTATTTACAGGTTCCACTGTGTAACAATCAACGCGTTAAGATAATAAGTATTAATTAAAATTAACGGCGAATATTCGTTTCTTCTTGCAATTTTTAACCGATTAATTCCTGGCTTTTTAATGTCATTTCTTTTACTTCCCGATTTCGGCCGTAGAGAGGGGGAAAAAAGAAAATAAGTAAATAAATAAAATACAAAAT